TTACATATTAGAAATCAGACTTTTCCAATATATTGCTTGGACTCCTAAAGTTCCCAGCCACCTGGCTATTGGGCCATTTTGTTTCAGAATTTGGGAACTGAGTTTTTCTCAGTATATCTGGAGAATATCAGGTTGAGGAAATTGACTTGTAGGTTCTCTGAGTTTACATGAAAGGAATGTTTCTCCACTTCATTTCCACAGTAAGAAAACAACTGTATGTACTGGAAGAATAGATTTTATGAACTGAAAATTACAAACTGAGTAACTATTTTGTCTGCACTGCAGATGGCAAGGATATGAAGGTTTCGTAGCAGTTCACCATCTTCCAACATTTGGCTGTAGGGATTGGGAAGCTTTCAACACTACAGCTGGTTCTTACCTCATGTATTCAAGTGCGAAAGAGCCCCTCTCCAAGGTGCTGAAGCTAAAAATCTTTTGACCTGAATGGAGATTCTTGAGTTTCCTGCCATAAGCAGAGAGCATAGACTTGGGAGTAATTGTTTTAGTTATTCAAAACTATAATGAAATTTGTTATATTTCAATTAGCACAGCCAATATAAGAAAGAGATTATTCTGGAGCTACTCAGCTAGTTGAGTAGGAGGCTGTTGGAAATTAGATTTTAACAGATCCTTTCTGCTATTAAGCTAAATTGCATAACTGTACATTTGAGCTGGCCAAAGATATTTGTGAATTCAGAAACTTTGGTTCACTTATTCTACCCTGTCCCAAGTATATTTATGAACATCATACCTATCCTAAAAAGCTGCCAATATAATTCATGCCATTAGGCATACCTGAGCATGCATTGCTTCTGAAGTAGGACAATAGGACAGAAAAGGCATCTATTTGTCATCTATCCCCTACTGAAAATGTTTGGATATATAAATTTTTGCTGACCTCTTCCAAGTCTAAATATCAATTACTGTGACATTATGAGAAGAGCATAGGAATGCAACGTATTTATATATGTCAGTCTATTCCAGCAACACACTCGTTGTCATGAGAAGAATTCTGATGTAGATCTTAGGGGAAATTGCTAGAGGTTTCTTAAAATATGAAAATCTGTAGTATATCAGATTCATGGGATCACAAAGGCCCAATTGCTTTTGAGGTTGTTTTTTTTTTTTGGTTTTTTTTTTAGCAATTTCCAGTTTTGAATCTCAGGGTTTCAAGGAAAAACAATTCTGAGCCTTACTGAGAAAATTCAAAATGCAGTTACTCCTTTCCTGTATTACTGGCTGCCCTAGATTGCATTACATATATTCCTTATTGTAGAAGGGCTGTGTCTTTACAAAAAGTCTTGGATTTATTATGAGTCTTCCAGGTTTGTATTCTCCAGTTTTGTAACAGAGTTTCAAGGAAATAAAAGCCAATATTGTTTAAAAGTTTCTATTTTAAGCTTTAGGAAACAATGCTTCTGAACTTTTTCACCTGGGGTCATCAGGAAAGTCCAGAACTTTTATATAGATTGATGATATCTCTGTGATAAACTCCATTCCTAGTTGATTGACATTTTCTTAGTTTGTTTTCCCATGTTAGTTTGTGAATAGTAAAGCTTCTATTTGCTGCTAAAAATGTATTCATTCACAAAATATTATATGTAAATTGATGACAGTCACATTTGTTATATGGAGGTGGAATTATTTATTACTGGGATATTTACAGTATTGAAAGCAGTTCCTAATAAAATAGAGTGATTTGCACCATCTCAGAGGTGCTGTGTCAGTGCTTATTTGCATTCAAACTTCATCTCGTATGAAATCTAACTACAGCTACAATGTCTGACCTCCCATAATTTGAGAATTGAAGTTATCCAGCCTGGCTTCAACTAGACATTTATAAAAAGTAAAGCAAAGTGAGAAAAGAATTCATTGCAATACTTGTATTTACTTCAAACAATAAATGGTGAAATTATGGAATTTCATATATGTGATATGGGATATGTATTAAACAAAAAACACCAGATAGAACAGGAAATAAATGCACTAAGACAGCTCTCTATTTGCCTTGGAGTTTGCTAGCCTTTGCATTCAGGTTAGACTGTCTGCCTTCATGTGCAATGAGGAATGCTGTTATATTTTGTTCTATTTCTGGAAAGAAGCATACTGAAATTGGAAAAGGAATACATGGGCTTAAGTCCCCAATCCAGTATACAGCTTAGCAGGTTACTCTGGGCCAGCCACTTTCTGTCAGCCCAAACTACCAGATGAAGACATGGTGACAGGGATAAAATGCATGGAAATGCTCCCCTCCCCCATTCCATTTGCCATTCAATTAAAATGTCTTGGTATCAATAACCTTTTGAAGTGCTGGGCACCATTGCTTTATCTCACTGGATCACCAAATATCATAAAGGTCTGGAATGTTTAGCTTTGAAAACTCGTGAAGCTTAATCTTACATCCTGAGGGATCTGGTGCAGAATACCAACATCTCATGAAGATTTGGTGATCTTACCAACGTGAAATCTTTTTGTCCTTTTTAAACAGAGATTACATATTTCATGTTTTTGACTCCTTAGATACCACCTAAGGTTATTGTGAATGCTCTGCCTTCTGCAGGTTCTGTGTTGTCAACCTTTGTAGTAGACCAATACAATTCTTTAATCAATAATGATTCCTTCCTTTAAAATAATTGATAATCCCTTGACAATATAAATGAACACAATAGAATAAACAAATCTAGTACTTTCTGAATCTGTTAAAATGGAATACTCAGTTTTTTTTCATGTCTATTGGCCATAGTGGGAATGCTGGTCACTGTCAATTTAGAAGGCACCAAGATGAAGAAGGCTAGATTACTCACTCTGCCACCCTTTGATCTGAAAGCTGACAAAACTACCATAGTCTGTCATCTGCTTCTATACCTCTTTCATGTCCCTTTTGCCATTCCAGTTGGTATTGAACCAATGCAGGATAGGAGGCCATTGCACAGAAGCCCAGCTGCTCATTTAATCTCAGACCTGAGATTAAACAACAGTGAGAAGCCAAGAAGATATAAAAGGAGGGATATAAAAGAAGGAATAAATGAAGGATTCTGAAATAATTGTGGGTATGATAGAGAGAACAAAACAACCCAATGAAAATAGGGAACCTTAATCGCTAAAGGGTTTTCCCATGCCAGCATAACATGTTCTCTCCTTATTGCCAATCCTATTCTATCTCTATAGTCTCTTTTCTGCTGGAGGTACTGTTGTACCTCCAGCAGGCAAGGTGATGGGTTTTCTCCTCTATCACATCCCTTCATGTCACCAGCCAAAGGGGGAAAATGTACAGTATTTATCAAAGCACTGCAAAGACCCAACGAGATGGGTCTGACATAAGGACTGTGCCTGAGCTGTTCTAAACTACTTTGCCTGCTTTTGCTCCAATAAAGTATCAGTTTGAGTGGGGATTTATTACTTTTAAAAAACTGATACACTTAAGAATGACTTACATCTGTTTTACTCATGGGCTGTGGAAGAGAGGAGGCCAATGTTGTGGAGCTAAGGAAACAAAATGTTGTTAGAGCAGGTAGTTCTCAAGTTAAGACAGCAATCGGGACTGGAATTTCTGTCACTAAATGTTGATTGATGTCAGGTGATTGCATCACTTAGTGACCGCAATCTTGGGAGTCCGAGTTGCCATTGTAACCGCAGGACCATGTGGTCATTAAGGAGGAAGAAGTAAGAGTCCCAGGCAAGCAGATGCTGTGGAGTACAGGCAGATGTAGGGGTGCCACAGGTGACTGGGAGAGTGCAATGGGCAGATGCTGCAAAGCCTGAGTGAGTGAAAAAATGGCAGGAAAGGGAGCAACTTGAGACCTCCTGATGGCTTCCCCACTGAATTTGTGTATGGTAAACTGGCAGAGAATGTGGGAAATCATGATCAAACAACCTTGGCTTACTGTAATATCATAATTATGAGCTGGGCACTGAGTGCCCAAATCTTGATCACATGAGTGCAGGGAGACTGAAAAGGTCAGTCATAAATCCACCTTGTATTGTGCCATTGTAAATTTGAACAGACACTGAATGAGTAGTTGTAACCCAAGAGATACTTGTAGGGACACTGTCCAAAGCAACCTTTCCTACTTACTCCAAATATTTTCAACAGCCAATGTGACTAGAGATAATGAAGCTGCAATCCAGGTATAATCCTGGAAAATCTGCACTATGGAGCAGAAAAGGAAAAGCCAAGCAAAAGCAAGCAAAGGAAATGGGCACTTGCCCTTCTACACAAGGTCTGTCTTCATGGTATTATTTCCATATAAAGTCAAGCAAATGTTGCAGTCTTGGGTTTTGTTTCTGGCTACTTGATAATATAGTAACTGATAAGAATACAAAGCAAAAGAATGAGCTTTTTCTTTAAGAAAAACAAAGCAAATGATAGTTACAACTATCACTGTATACCATTATCCTCTTCCTTATTTTTCATTGCAAATATTGAATTCTTCTCTTTCATCCAATCTCTTCATGTTATAGCACTAAACTTTAGTTTATGCCAAACAAGCAAAATATTGCTGATAATTAATCTAGGACTATGTTATCTGGGCTTAAAAATCCAGAATATCACTAAATTGCAGCAAAAAGTATCTTTTTGCTATCATATAGTGGTTTTATAGATTTTTATGGGTCAGATATAATAGCCCCATTAAATAAAATTGGGTGTAGTAGGTGCTGCCATGTTTCTTAGTCCAAAGTAAAAAGATCTATTCCTTTACAAGACCAGCTGGTGGCAACACAGGCAAATGTTCTATTGGGGAAGAAATTGGCCTCCTGCAGGTAACAATTATAATTACAATAATTATTTTGAAACCCACAGGAAAATTCTTGGTAATAAGATCTACAGGTAGGAATTATGAGTCCTATGTGAAAAATTAGTATTTAATTTAACATCTCCCTCCTCCTTCCATCTTTTTCCTTATGGGCTATATTTATTAAATTGTCAGTTTGATTGTCAGATATTGATTTTTAATGTTTGTATAGCACCTTTTTAATAAAGGAAGAGCAAGAGAATAACCTTTTTGATTTTTTAAAACAGTTTAAAAGAAAAAAAAATGACAGTGAAAGACTTCTTTAGGATTAAACTACATAGTAGATGGATACACAACCACCAATATTTTTTAAGTTCACAAAATGGTGCAGGAATTTGTGATGCTCATTATGAGAGATGTCATAACCACACTTTACACTGAGAATTAGGAAGAAGGTAGAAGAGTTTCAACATCAGACTGAATTATATGCCCATAACTCAAATATTACCAGAAAACATTTGCATCCTGCACAAAAATGGTACATAAGCAGTAGTATAAAACTAGTAATAAAAAAAGGCCCCAACTGTCCTGAAATTTGTCAAAGTGTTGATTAACCAGCTGTTGCATGATGGGCCTTCAGATATGATCACCACAAAGTGTTAAGAGTGCACAGAACTACAAATGTGGTCCCTTTCAACATTTTACAGCAGTTTCATATTTTCCCAAGATCACACACGATGATGCCACATTTGTGCATCATGGAGATATATATATATCTCCATTATGAGAACATACATTTCCCCAAAAGTAGCCAACTGGAAAGCAATGCTATTGCACTAGAACAGCAGAGCAGAGAATCAATGGTACAAACAAAGATTCTCAAGTGTCTTAAAATGCATAACAATTGGATCCATGCAGATAAAGACTTAATTTGAAACTCTGTTTTCAAAAAAGCAAGTCTAGCATGTTTCTATGTCTAGTGCAGTGTGTGAATGCTTTATAGTGCTGCTGTCAAATTTATTTGCTGCCAATAGATTCTCTCCAGCACTGACCTTGCTTTACTGAAGTCTGCCAGATTCTGAATAGGTGGGATTCAACCTGTTTTGCAAACAAAATCTGCTAAATTTACAGGGAATCTGTTTTAACAGAGATTTTGAAACTTAAAATCATGTAAAGAAGCATTTCCAATTTAATATTTTATTGATGTATTATTTATTATATTTATATTTCATGTTTCTAATCTAGAGCATTCATCTCCCTCAAAGAGAGGCTCTTTATAGCTTTCTTATTTACTTTTTCTATTAGCTTATTCTTATATTATCTTTCCTTAGCCTGAAGATTTTGGTTCTCAGAAACTGTTATCAGATGCCAGGGCTAGGTTTTTCTCAAGTTAAAATTATTACTCATTTTTTCCCTTTTCAAATTTATTAATCTCCAGACCAGCTGCACTTTTGAACCACCATTTGCAATACAAAGTAAGCAAATGTAGAAATAGACAATTTCATCATTGTGTATCTGCCCCATCTTCCTAAAGGGAATCTATTCAGCATTATTTCTTTTATAACACATGCTCATTTTTTCCCCTTTCCTTTACTTGCATTTTACTTGCACCATATTTGCAGTATAACGTTTCTGGAATTAAAAACACATTATTACTCTGTTGGAGAATGAAGAAGTATGGATCTAGATGGAGTATAAAGTGTATCCTTTTTTAGATTTGCATCACACACACAAACATATATATTACATATTAAATTACATCAAACTGTATGGGTCCTTGTTTGCAAAATCTATGAATTTAGCAATAGAACTTTCTGTAAGCTTTGGAGAAAGTGTTTTGTCTTTTCATTCAGAGTATCAAGCAAAAGTCAGCCATGTACATATTCTATTGGCACCATGAGCACATTTGTCAGGATTATATTGCTCCATTTGAGGGTTTTTAGATTTCTCTCTTGGAATAAGGTCTTGATTGTGAATTTTAGGGAGCCAAAATAAAGCATGTGCCATTCAAATTCCTTTTTATGTTTTCTCTGTTGGGTCCACTATCGGTAACAATAGCATAGAGCAGGGGTAGGCAACCTTGGCTCTTTTATGACTCATGGACTTCAACTCCCAGAATTCCTGAGCCAGCCATGCTCAGTTGAAGTCCACAAGTCATAAAAGAGCCAAGGTTGCCTACCCCTGGCATAGAGCATAGGGAAACGTGGTTTAGACATTTTTACTATATTTATAACGGCAACACATTTTTTTACCTTTTATGAAACACTTTGTTCTTTTTTAAAAAAAATAGAAAAGTCCTGGCTGAACTAGCAGGAAATAAACTTTCTATATTTCATCCAACATTTTCTTCTTTAGAAAACAGGCTGTGTAGCACTCCAGGCTACAGGATTGTGCTGATAGTCTCTTTAGGAACTCTTGTGCTAGGTAGTGACTTCAAGTATTCCAGATGCTTCTTTGTATCCTCCTGATTATGCCGGACATAGTATACCACATAGCTAATGACCAAGGTAAACCAGCTGAACATGGTAACAAACATGGCAACATCAGTGGTTTTCTGGTGTATGTTGCAAAAGTTGATGCCTGAATCTAGGATGTGGAGCAGAGGTTTTCCAGCATATTCCTCTTGCACAGATGTTTGACAGGTGATCTCATTGACTGAATCAGGGTCCAGTTTCACTTCCCACAAGACTTCCTGCAAAGTACATTCACAATGCCAAGGATTGTTGGATAAGCGAATCATGGCATTCAAGTTGACCAGAGCTTCCTTTGGGATTCTCTGTATGTGATTGCCAGAGAGATCCAGCAATCTCAGGCCATCAGCAACACCCTTAAACGCTGCTGAATCAATCTTCTCAATGGCATTCTTGGAGAGATCTATTTCTTGTAAGTGGGCAAGATGCCTGAAAGTGCTGTTGGGAACTGCAGTAATCTTATTTGCATCCAGCTTCAAAAACATGGTATCTTTGGGAATATCTGTTGGAATCTCCTCCAGGTTGCTAGCACTGCACAGAACAGCAGTTGCTCCTGAATAATTGGTGCATTGACACTGTTCAGGGCAGGATGTACAACAACAGGAAGGGGTGCAAAAGAAGAGGCAGAAGAGAACTTGAGAGCAAAGGAACAGCACAGGCCAAGATGTCTCAGTTGCCAGAAACATGCTGGTCATCCAATCAGTAATAGGGAGTCCTGCATGGCTGCTAGGGCAAAGAAAATTTGTCTTTTTTTTCTTCACACTCCTTTGAACTAAGAGGGCCCACAAGAATTTCTTCTGATTCTCTGTGGGTTGATTTGCACTGAGGTCAGGTGGCTCACAGCCATCAATTCACTCTTCTCATTTTCCAGAGCACAGAAATATGAGGAAGTAATCTCTACAGGGGCAGAAATATGAATACATTTTCATCTAATTCCAAAACAACAATTAAAAATACCATCTATGATCAAACAAATGTTGACCCAAATATCTGCGACTACACATTTCAGTTACAAAACCCTGATAGGTAACTAATTGGCTTTTCCTTTCCTTTTCCTTTTTCCTTTCTCCTTTCTCCCTTTCTTTCGACTGAAGACAAAATCCTTGGAGACATTTCTCCCTCCCCTTTTCAATCATTTCCTTGTTGAAGGTGATGGAGTATATTAGTGCTGATGTTATTGCGTTTTGCTTTAGCACTGTGAAGTAGCCCAGTTTGCCCTATTCCATTCTAAAAAAAAAATAATCGAAGTGGAAATAATTCCCTCTTGGGATTTAAAAGAAACACCGGAAACCAGGAAAATTGCAGATCAGTGGTAAAAATAAAGTGCAGCTACTCACACCGAACTGCATGGCTATTCCCACTGGGTCCCACCACTTGCTGCTGGCTGCTTTTTTTAATCTCCTCACTCTCCTTTCCCTTTTTGCTTTAAAGGAATAAGCACAGAGTTCCTTATCTGGGCTGCTGCATTAAATATGATACAAGTTACAAACAACTTCATTTATCTGCCATCTGGTGGTCATCCAGAACTTTGCAGCTTACAGATGGCATGGGAAATGAGAGGAGATTCACCTTAAGTCTAATGATTAAGGAGGGAGGGGAGGAGGAATACCTTGGATGACTAAGGAGGTGAGGAACCTTGCATGCTTAAGAGAAGCAACCACAGGGCCCTGTTCATTTCATCTACTCTCAGCTGCATCAGCCTGGGGAGAAGCTCAGCACCTCAGACCTTTCAGCAGCGAAGTGCCCATCTGAGGAGTTTGTTTGGGGTTCCATTATATTCTAAAGTTGCAAGACTAACTTTTAACTAAATAACTGCAAGAGCATCACACTCCACCCATGAATTTGCACCAAAATCTCTCCTCTTTGCAAAGACTTTTTTTCATCAAAAGAGGAGAAGTTTTCTGTATAGTACAACATACTCCTTTTATTTAAACCACATTCTGCAGTCTATGTCAGCTGAGCTAATAGTGCAATTTTCACAATTGCTAGGGAGGGGGAAAAAAGCCTGTTCAGTTTGGATTCACTGTACTGGGAAAAAAGTTTGTAGTTTCAAGAAAAAAGCATTGAGTGGGGAACGCTTAACATGATAAAGAAACAGGGAGTTGGGAATCCCGTTTTCATTTGTTTCTCTGACCTTAAGATGGAGACATTTTGGAAATGAATTCTGCTTGTCTGTACCCCAGAAGTGAATCTGCTTGCTGAGGGTGGAGACATTCAGAGCACGGTAGAGTAGTTTTAGCAAGGAAAAGAGATGAGTGAAAGAAGGTAAGAATCTATTCTCTTTGCTACTTTTCTGCTATAAACAAACTCATCAGAAACCCTTATTTGCTTTCTTTCACTCTTAGTACTGGGATTGTTTTGCTGTTATGTTTTTTGAAGTTCTCAGATCCTAGGCAGGGGAATCTATAATCTGAATCCTTTTTTGTTGATGGCATAATTTTTACAGTTGAGAATATTGGCAAAATAAATAGTGCACATGACTGAAAGTAATTATAAAAAACTGACTGACATTATATGCCAAAGATGGCAAGAGTAATTAGCCTCATAACCAAGATGCCTAAAAAAAAACATAAAAAGGACCACAGAATTGTATGTGTTCCATGCAATTTTAACTGTAATGGCTTCTTCTGGAATAGATGCAGAGAATTTTGTAAAAGATCTTTAGTAAACTGGTCACAGAACTGCAATCCCCAGACTTCCCTAAGGAATTTGCTGATTGAAAAATCATTTGACTTCTGTGATATAAATAGACCATTTGGAGATCAGCTACAGCCACCAATTTGGGGTGGGAAAATTTGGATTTATGGGTACTGCCTATATGCAATCAGCTGTGGCTCATAGGATCCTGCTGGTTGTGGTGATAGACGAAATTTCTCGGCTAGGAGGGAATCCTCTCTCTCTCTCTAAGAATGCTTCTTTCTCCTTTTCAACCTTGCCGTAACCTATTGCCTAAGATGAAGCTTTCAGCCCTCAGGCTATCTGGGGAAGGCAGATTTTCACACCCTTGAAGTACTGTGACATGACAAGCAACACATCTGCTGTCTTTCCCCAAACTATTAAAGGTGCATGAGTCATAATATTAAACATTGGCAACCCCTGCTCCAAGCATAACAGGGAAAGCTGCTAATCCTAATATGCTTCAGGATGTAAATATGACACTAAATCTAGCTGCAGTCTCCACCTACATCTTCCTCCCAGAGTTTCAACCATGGTGTCAAAAACAAGAGCAGCACAGATGGTGGACACTTACCTAGTCACAGAGCAAAACTGTCCCCCCCCCCAAAAAAAAATTGGCTTCTTGGATTGAGCCTACTGAAAAGAATTCATATAGTCACCTTTAACCACTCCATCATGGAAATATACAATGACTGATCTGCCCTATTATCCCTGCCTTCTCTTCTCCTTTTTGGCCATGATGCCTGAACTGAGGCCAGCTGAGTCTCCTTTACCTGAGGATCCCAAGTTTCTTCCTCATCCAAAGCTCAGGAGCTCTTGCTTTGCCTTCTCTTGCCACACCCTTGCCTGGATGTGGGTGCAGTTCAGAGTAGCAGCAGCAGCAGCAGAGACTTGCAGTCTGCACACAGCACTTGTTGCTGCCGTCCTCTTCCCATCAGTCGCACACAAAGCCATTCATGGCAAATGCTGACTGTAATTGGATCGCATCTGCTTGTCACTGCCACCCTAGCTGAGCATCCTGGAATTTTTAAAGGAGCCGTTCAGTAATAAAGGACGTATTAGATAGAACACAGAGGAAGCAACATAGTGGTCTATTGCTTGCCTGGGAGTTACAGTTTATACAGTATTGTATATTTGGAACACAGTAACTGATATTCACTAGACCAGAAAATAGGCATTCAGTGTTGCTTTCCATTATTGCACAGATGCTAAAATGTATTTATTATTAGAGGTGCTTTGTGTTATGCCAGCCTGACATTTCTCCTGCATTAACTCCAGGTCATAATATCTCCTTGTAGTCTTTCTCTTTTATCTTAAAGAGCAAGACTTCAGCATGTTCTTAAACTATTATGAGCATCTTTAATAGTGAAAGGAAAATTCATATTTGCACATTGTAATACATTTGTGTTAGTTATTTGCTGTAGTTCATTATTAGGAGATTCCTCATAAAATCGTAGAATTAAAAGGGCCTGTTGAGTTCAGCTTGCTTGATGCAGGAGTTCAAAGCCCCAGCCACCAAACAACTATTTAGCCTCTCCTTAACACAGCTGTTCCCAGGTAACATATTCAGCTGTCAAATTGCTCTGTCTGCATTCAGACAGATTTTACCTTCTTGTAACATAAATCCATTCTTCCAAGACTCACATTCTGAAATAGACACGTGTCTTGGCAAATCTTATGTTTGTTATCCTTTAATATATTTGAAGAGAGCTAGCTAATCCTCTTTAGTAGTCTTTTCTCTAAACATATCCAATGCCTTCAATGATTGTATTCTATTTCCCTTTTATCCCTTCTCTGCTGCTTCAATTTCTATGGATCTTTAGTGCAATGAGTAGAACTGAACTCAGTACTCGAGACTGGGTATCCCAAAGTAAAATAAAGTGAACTGTTCATTTTAGTTTTTAAAAATGTTTTTTTAAAAAATTATGTTGATGCAATCTGAAATTTGTATTTGGCCTTTTTAATAATTACATAGAAAAATTGTTTCATATTCGGTGTGTAGTCAACTTTATACGATTACTTTGTTGTTGGACTTAGATTATATTAATGGACCTCATAAACTCCCAGTCATCTATATTATCAAATGGTTCTATAGTGAACTGGAGCATTGTCTCTGCCTAGGGCTAGGCTGAAGAAAAGAAACAATGACTCTTGATTACTACATGCATCTTTAAGTCATTGATTGTTAGTTGAAAAGGTTGCCACCCCCTTGTTTCTGATAGAAACAAAACCATGAACTATTAGTCCGACAATTGGACAACTGTTAGTAGCTTTTGTGATTTTGTATGATGAGTAAACTTAGTGCATTTGCAAATCATAGTTTATGGTTTAGCATGGGGTGGAGCTTAAATTGTCATTTATCCAGTTAATCATGATCAAGGCAACCTGTCTTAGTATGTTGTGTGAACACAATATAAGAAAAAATTCATGTGGCTACATTTGGAGAGTGATAAGGCTATTCCATGAGAGCCAGTTTGGGGCAGTGGTTAAAAATTCCAGGCTAGAAACTTGGAAACTGTGAATTCTCCCACCTTAGGTACAAAGCCAGCTGGGTGATCCTGGGATGGTCATTCTCTCTCAGCCCCTCCGGAGACAAACCACTTCCAAAATCTTGCCAAGAAAACAGCAGGGACTCTCCCAGCTAGACTTCTGGAGTCTGCACTAATTTGAACACACACACGCATGGCTATTCCATAGGAGTGGCAGTGTTTGTAGAGGATATGAAATGTTTGTCTCCTGGAATTTACAAAACCCTAGAGCAGTGTTTATGTGACAGAGAGATGAAAGCCACATACAACTTTGCAAAGCAAATCTCACTCGTGTTTGCATGTGATGTCACAATGTAAATATGAGAGTGGAGCCTGCGTTATGATGTCATAATAATCATATCGGTGCCTTTATGTCTAAGAATATCAATTGTATGTAAAATAAATTATCACACAGTACCCTCTAAATCTGTTAGTATTCAATGAATATTAACTATGCAAACTGATTTCTCTCAGCATTCCAGACTGAAAAATAGTTATCTAGTTTGTGATACAGTGGCTGTATTTGTACAATATCCTTCACTGCACTTTTGTTTGCAGAATATGCTGCATTCACATAAGAAGCTAAGCTTGGTTACTTTTGATCAATTAGCTAATTCAATAACCAGTTCAAGCATATTGTGTAAACACAGGAAGAACATTGTATGAGCATAGCATTGTTGTTCTGTTGGTACAGTATAGAGTATGCAGATAAAGAACACATGTTTTATACGAACTCCAGCCATAGAAGTCTCAGGACTTCAGTTATAATATTTGCACTTAGCGCTAACATTATTTATTGACCATTATTCCTTTATTGAACATCTGCTTTTCCTACATAAAACTTAGTCTCTTATTACCACAGCAGCGTAAGTGTATTTCTAATTATTCACATTAGAAACAAACATTGTTCAGCAGGACTGTCTGCATAATCCCTTATGGTGTTGACCACATAATCCCTTATGGTGTTGACCACATCATCTATGAAGCTTATGAATGTGCCTTAACAAAAAGAATTAGGAAAACAGTTTAAACCTGGAACAACTAAAAGATCTTGAAGCTACCTCACCTATGAGATGAAAATAATATTAAGGCAATGCTGTGAGGATGGATCATATAAAAACAATCTTCCTCAGATGTTGTGTTGTGATTAGGGCAGTGGTGGGATTCAGCCGGTTCGCACCACTTCGGCAAAACTGGTAGCTAATTTTTTGTTGCCAGGCCCAGAATGGACTTCTGGAAGTGGCATCCACACAGAGAACCAGTTGTTCACATATTTGAATCCCACCACTGGGTTAGGGTGACATGAGATGGGGGCTTTAGGAAAGCAGCTCATATAATTACGATGAAAAAGCTGTTTTTGTTGTTCATTTTATAGTCTGCCTTTTCTCCAGTTCTCAGAGTACATAGTATTCCTATACATAGTTACCTCTATTACGCCTACCCTATTAAGTAGATGAGAGAGAGAGTAACTGGCCTAAAGTTATCTTCCAGAGTTGACGGTGGATTTGAGCCTTTTGCACTCTACCACCACAAGAGCTACCCTGAAGCTTTTACCCAGAGCCAGGATCGGATGTAGAAATTAGCTACAGGAAGTTGTAGAAGCTCTGTTTGGCAAGTACTAACAGAAAGACTGTGAAACCATTGAATTTAGCAAGAATAATGTGAGGATGCATAACAGACATACGAGGAACTAGAGATGAATCATCTTTGAACAGCTATGAATCTGTACCGGATGACTTCATTTATGGAGACTGTCATATAATAATAATACTATAATAAATTTTTAAAAACCTGAACTTTTGAGTGGCCCTTTCAGTTTCCTGGTCTTAAATTGTAGCTTGCTTAACTTATGCCTAAATCTGATTCTCACCAGAAATTGTGTATTTAACTAAGAAAATGAAATACAAATAAAAAAAATATTTACTGTTATTTCTGCTTTGAAAAGGGCTAGGACTTTTAGAAGCTGTTTAGGTGTTTTAAAAATTATCATCATGAGCACTGCAGTGAAAGAAAAAATATTGTGTAGACTGCAATTTTAAGAAGCAATGTGCAAAAATAATTTAGGGACACCTGTATCTGGATCAGCAATGCAGTGATTTCATTTGTTGAGCATAACACATCTTGGTCAAGATCCAGTTCATAGGCAAATACAAATATATATGTTTAGCTATAAAGTGTGTGGCCTTTTTCTAAAGATACCATAATTATTACTAAAAATAAATTTTAGAAATGAGAGAGCAGCTTTATGATTTGTGCTGGGTCCAACCAAACTGCAAGTGAAAATGCAGCTTTAACTGAAAAACATTAATCTTGGTTTCTTTAGATTACTTTTACTAGAGGTAAAATTTAGGATTATGACTTCACAGTGATCCACATTCATTTTTAAATTGATTTTTAATTATTAACAAAATAAAAGTAAAACACAAAAAATAGTGATAGTGATAGTGATACATACATTATTGAAAAAAATCATATGATTGTGTTTTTTTAACAATATTTTATTAAATTTTATAAAGGTAGGGGAAGGGAAGGATCGATATAGGTAGTGGGATTCAGGGTGGGATTCAGGAAAGGAGTTGGGATGGGGGTAGGTACAACAATGGGGTTGCCCCAATGACATTCCAAGCTTTAGCAAGCAAACTATCGTCCGGATATAAGTATTCAATGGGAATAGTTAATATAATAATAAATAGCTGTAGTCAACAAAAATAGCAATAATTTTAGAGCATGTCACACAATCAATAAACATCAATCATCTTAGTAAATTTCACATATGATTGTAATTTATGATGTTTCCTGCTAACTTTCCATAAGCAAAGTCAAAGGGAAAGCAGGCAGAATGTCAGAAATTATGCTCATGTGAGATCCTTGCTTAACAACACAATGTAGGCTTCACTTAATGACAGTTGTTACTAAGCAATATGGTCATCTGACATGCTTTACAATCACTTTATTTAGTGACAGAAATTTCAGTCCTAACTGCTGGCATAGGCCCAGGATTATTTATATAATACAAATGGTGAATTGCTTAATCCTTCCCACTGCTTTTTTATGTGTCAAATGGTGCCAAGTATGGCTCAATAATGGATATGCTGCTGAAATAATTAATCTGAGTATATTTCACATTTAGAGAGGAACTCTTTTCTGACCATAAGTATATCTGAATACTTTCTGTGGACTTTCTCCGATTATTTTCTCCATCCTCTTGTATATTTAAACATAGAACTAGGAACACAAATTGCTATTCAAGCTGTTTTGCTTTCATTCATTAATAGAATGAAACCTTTGAGGAAAAGCTGTCTTTGCAATCTTTATAAATGACTGTGACAATTTTGGCATTTCTGGCATTGATATATCAACATTTGCTGAAGCAAATTTTTTATTGAGAAGAACAAAATGAAGTATAAATTCAGATTCCATTAACATTAGAATTATTGGCCTAAATTAAGAAATATCACAAAATCCTATCTATAATAAATATCAAGGATATTTATTTATTTATTTATGAGACTTATATACCGCTTTAAGTGCAAGCACTCTCTAAGCGGTGTACACCAGTAAGCAATGTATATATATATATATTTACTTGCCCCCAACAATCTGGGTCCTCATTTTACCTACCCCGGAAGGATGGAAGGCTGAGTCAATCTTGAGCCGGTGAGATATGAACCGCTGACCTGCTGAACACAGTCAGCTAAAGTGGCCTGCAGTACTGCACTCTAACTGCTGTGCCACCTCGGCTCTGTAGATATCAATGCTACTGCCAATAAAACAATAGAGGCAAAAAGACTCAGCAGTGGCATTTACGGGAGAGAGAAGCAGCTTCTACTAATTAATTTAGCACATACCGTTCTGTATTGAATTAATGATAATAACCATAAAAAATTAGACCAGCACATTTCAAGTTATGAATATGCTTATATTCTTTGTAACAATAAAACAATTTTTCCTGGGAGGAAGACTATTTGATGAACAAACCAGGAACCTCTGAAAATAGATAGCTTTGGCATTAGGGTGAAATTGAGTTTTGCAACTGCCCCCTTCCCAATTTTTAAGACATTATGGAAAACAGCTATCATCTGAATTAGAGGGAAGAGAAGGAAGACTCATAATCAGTGGTGGGATTCAAATATGTGATCAACCGGTTCTCTGTATGGATGTCACTTCTAGAAGTCCATTCTGGGCCTGGGCAACAAAAAATTAGCTACCGGTTCTGCCGAAGTGGTGCAAACTGGCTGATCCCATCTCTGCCCATAATCCTTCCCTGACTAGCCAATTCCTTCAAACCTTTAATTCCAGCAGCTTTTGGGTGATGGATAAATTAATTTTGAGCAAGTGATTTAAGAGATACTTTGCATGTTTAATCATCAAGTTTGCTTTTCGGGAAGGCATAACTTTTTTTTATTTCCAGGCCCAAATAGTCCTTGTTAGATGAGATTTATTTCACAATGGCTTTGAGTCACTTGATTTTTCTCCCTATTTTGCTAATCTGTTATTTTGACTATGGTGTATAGCACTGTGCTTTTAACTGAAGCAAGCTTCTAAATGTTTTAAGAAACTTTTAACTGAGGCAAGCTTCTAAATGTTTTAAACCGTTTAAATTATTTAATTATTATTTAATCTATTAATTATTATTGAAACATTTTCTATATTGCGTGTATTAACATATTTATTTCAACTGAGGGACTTTATGTGCAGATGAATTTGAATTTATGTGTGGATGTGTTTGCATATACAGCTCACCTTTAAATAAATAGGAGTCCATCAACAGCAACTTAAGTTGTACACATGGGATACCCCCATTCTTTTCAAAAGAGGGGAAGATTATCTACAAGACCAGAGGCCTAGTAATATAGCCCACCACTGAAAGGCTCACTAACTTACAGAACTGTGAATCAGGCTACCTGTAGCTTGCTATAAGGTTTCAGACAGCGATAGATGATCTCACAAAGTTCAAGGCAATGCACCTCTAGCTAGAAACTGAATGAAACTTTGAATATTGAGGATAATGGCCCGCAGTCTGCTGAAGTGATAGTTAAGACAGAACCCAGAAAATTGGAACCTGGATCTTTTTAGATGGTTTCCTTCAAACTAGACTCCAGTGCTATTTGCACGTTTTTTCAAAAGGAAAAAAAAAACAGGAAAAAATATGCATGTATTCAGTTCAGGATTTGAGGCTTGTAAGGATCTACATTCTTCAAGAATCAGAACAGAGCTATTTCTCATTCAGTGTCATTTTGGGGACAGGCATGGGAGATTCCTCATAGTTTCGCTTGTTAACTAAATATCCAGAGAATCTGATTTAATTTTACCAGGCTAGACGCAATGTAACGCATGTGAAGTGTAGCTTATGATGCTATTTCAACCAACAATAATTAAGGTTTCAATTAAGTGCTGAAATGTGGTTAATCTAAAATTGAATCAAAAGCTTCCAAACTTAATAGGCCGTACTAGGGGGACACATAAGCCATATTGAAATTCATTCTAGGACTTCCGGTTCCAGAACGCGTCGACACCTGTCATGCCTGGAGACTCGTCTCCACGCCGCCTGGAGTTTCCTTCACCGGTAGACCCCCTAGGGGGTCGAAAGTTGCCCTGGAGGGGCGATCACCAAAGAGGAGGCTTGCTGGTAGATAGGGGGGTGGCAGCTTCCCCCGTGTCTCCAGCTATCTCCTCAGGGCCGACGGAGCAAAGGCCGGCCTGCAAGATGGCCGTTCACCCTGCTGCACCAGCCAAAAGCTGCATCATCATCTAAGCATTACAGACCCACCCCGGATGATCCGGGTGAGACTCCTTTTGCTCCTTTCCTCACCCCATGCTGTTTTTTGCCTGTAAAAGCTTTCTTTGGAATTATTTCCCCATCTGGAGAAAGCGGCTTTTGCAATTGTGGGAACAAAGGTGTTAAGACTATATTTTATCTCTATTTATGTTGAGCTACTGAAAAGATTGTTTTGTGGGGGTTTTTTTGGAACGGTATTATATTGGCAGAATTTCTTTTTCCATTTTTTTAAAAAAAACGCGAAAAAAAGAAAAAAATGGCGTTTGAAAAAAAATTAGCTTACTGAGGACACCTACTGGTCCAAAGTTAATATTGGATTGTTGATTAGATGGTTTTGGCCTTCAAATTGCTTTTCAAGGGAAAAGATAATTTGAGCCAGCTGTGTGATCTGTGAGGGTGGATGATATCCAGTTGTAACCCTCACTAAAGAGAAAAGAGAAAGAAAAAGGATTTTTCCTTATCTATTGCTAAAAATGAAGCCTCAATTACATCTAAACTTTAAACTTATACTGGAAAAGATCTATGAGGCCAAAGAAGAAATATGTAGTACAATAAAAGAGTTTACTACAGAACTAAGAGCCAGAATGCCTACTCTAAATCTTAAAACTGACTCCCAGATTACACTTGATTACTCTACAAAACAGACTATACAAGAAGAGGATTTAACTGAGAATAAAGAAAATCTTACCTTGCCCTACAAACAAGACCAGGAAAAGCAAAGACTGAATTTTGAGCTTCTGATGCAACAAGGCTTTATGGATAAGAGAAACAGAGGACCTAATCAGACACCAAGATGGCTTTCATAGAATCAGGTGACACTACAAGTAACAAAAAGAAATTCATCATCTGGAAGGGAAGCCTTGTTATGGAAACCTACCTGGCATATGAAGAAAGCTAGAATAAGATTGAAAAATGAAATTTAAAATTCCATAAACTGGATTAAAGGCAATCTAGAATTACGGACAGATCTAAGGACTAAGATTACGAGTTTGAAGTAATGAGATGTCTCAGATTTGGATTGAATTAACAATTATGTGAATTTTAATTAAATAAGATGACCTGTTTGTTTTATAATATGGATGTTTAGCTTTAATAATTAACTGGTTGAAATTTGAATTTTACTCAATGGATTGAAATGATCTAAGCTTTGATGCTAGACTGTCAGCTTAAAGAGACCGGTTAATGGAAGGATTAGATAGGAATAGAATAGATTGATAAATACATACATTTAGATGTGTCTACGATAGATCAATACCTTTGCTTAAAAATGAGATTTTTACTTTTTTTTATATAATGGACTGAAGGCAATCTAGAATATTAAGAATGTTTTTTTTTAGAATGTTAGGTTTACCTTTATGAAAATTGTTATGTAATGGAATGAAGAAAATTGAAGAGATGTTTTAGATTTGAATTGAATTATTAATTAATTGAAATTTAATAAGATATTATGATTTCTTGATGATATGGATGTTATTAGTCATGATAATTAACTGCTGAGCTTTGATTTTGGTATAATGGATTGACATGATTTAAGGTCTGACTTTATCTTCTTAGCTTAAAGAGATTGATTAATTGATGGATTAGATAGGTATAGGATAGATTAATATTTTATTCTAAATGGGAGATTAGTGGAAGAAGAAATAAATAAGATTTTGATAAAATTAAAAATGTAGATCATACTTGGAAGGGATATTTGAACTGAAAATGTTTTTATTTAAAGTTAATTTCATTATGGTATTGTAAATTAATGAAGCTTAAAAACAGGTTCAGGTTGAATAAATTTAAGCTAGAATTGGATATTTTAAATATATTATGCTACTTGAGGGGAAAAGAAAGGGAACACTTGATGTATTGATTGTACTATGTATATACGTTTTGTTTTAGGATGTTTGATTACCCCAGCACCACGGTGTGTCCTGAATACTTTGTTTTAAGAAATTAAAAAACCAATAAAATTTGTTTTGAAAAAAAAAGAAATTTATTCTTGTCATGTTGAAGGCATTCCAAAATGTGATTATGGGCAATTTGGGGAGGGAGTTTCAGGGGTGAAATAGATTCCCTACATATTTGCCAGTCTTAAGACATCTATACTCCCATTAAATCCCTCTGCATGCTCATCCAAATGCAAAAAAATATATATCAAAATTTTGATTTCTGGTTGCTGCAAAAGCAATAATGGTAGCTTGCATTGCTTTTTGCATTCCTGTCATAATACTAAATTAGAGGTTAGTGTGATGTTTATCCACAGCCAGTAAATTTGGGTTAATGTCAAACTGGAAAAGGTTGCACTGGAAGAACTTCAAAAATTTGTCTTGGATGTCAGTAATGCCAGCTGATATTCTCCAGCTCAGCATGGCAATGGCTATGATATACCATCAATAAGTACTGGATCTGCTGAAATATGATGGCTTTCTGACTGAATGAACAATTGGACCAGAAATCTTTGGGAACTGGATATGTACTGGTTTTTCAAAGGCAGCACTAATGATGTTGTGTGTAATTTGAACAGAGAGATTGTTTACTCCCCTGCTATTAGTGTTAAATAGTATTCCAAGATGAATTACAATTCACTTTATTGTATACTTTACAAATTTATGAGGCCATCCAGAACCCTGATGTCCATTAACTCTACATGATCCATAGGAATATGTGTGGCATTTCTGGAAAGGAACTCAGGGCTTCAGTATAATGAAAGCAAGCTTTTTTGCAGTTCAAATAAGCATACATTTTTGGCCAAATCAAGAAGAATTTCATTTCTAAGTTCAGCTGGAATGGGAAAATGTCTTAAAGAGATCCACTGAAAAGCAGAATACAGTTTGGTTTACTGCAGTTAAGAAGAGCTGAGGAAGAAATTTAAATGCAAAATTTAACATTGCTCTTGGCCATTAGAAATATGCTCCAAAAAGGACAGTTGCTTTCCTCAGAAGTTCTTTGTGATTGACATAAAGGGGGATCTTCTTGTCCACCACCTGCCAGCGCACCATCACTTCAAAGTCACAACCCTGGAGAAACTGGAGAAAGAAATCTCAGACAGGAAAAGGAATTTGGTCATAATTAGTTTCCCTACAGCTTCAGGAAAGCCAGAAGGAAACTGTCTTGGAACATGTGATATGAGTAGATTACCTCAAAAACCTGATGAGCATATTAAAAAAAACCACTTTTGGTATGCACTTTTTCTCTTTGCTTAATGCAGTGGTTCTCAACCTGTGGGTCAGGACCCCATTTGGGGTCGAATGACCATTTCACGGGGGTCGCCAAACCATGCTGTCCGCCATTTTTTTCCCTTTTCCCTAGCTGTCCTACTCCCTCTTATTGGTAGCCACACCCACTTGGGGGTCACCACAACATGGGGAACTGTATTATGGGGTCACGGCATTAGAAAGGTTGAGAATCACTGGCTTAATGCAATGTATATGACTATATGCGCAGTAGACCTGCTGAAGGTTTCTCTTGTTACATTGTCAGGAACTGTGACCCATTCTCTATCTGTCCATCTCACACACATGCATGTGTGTCCACACACACATCCACACACAAATACACAATCTCTTATCTCTGTGTCCATTTCTTTCTTTATCATGATTTTGTCTTTCGCCTTTCAAAGTGCTTTTCTAAATTTCTCTGGACCCTTCATCTTCCTCCCTGGGCACCCACCCTGGGGGTTTGTTCACAGAATCTTAGAATTTGCATCTTGAGGATAGCATTATGATAAGTAGTGACCTGCTGACACATACCGAATTCAGACGCTTCATTTCAATATCATTCTGATCTTCAAAATGTACACTGATGGCCACTGTCTCTATCCAAGCATTGTCTGTGTTCCTTGGATCATCCACATACCCTTTGTATATCTGGAAGAAGATAGGATCAAAGGAGATATATATATATATATATACACACATATGTGGATGCTCATATATATTTGGTTTGGACAAAACTCAACAGCACTTTTTCGTGCGGCTGCTGATAAAAACAGGATCGCCAACATGATCGCCAACGTCCAGTAATGGATATGGCACAAGAAGAAGAAAATGTGGAGGGGCGGGGGGGGGGGAACAGAAAGGTTAGAATCATTCAGAGGATAGGGCAGTTTCTTATTAATCTAAAGAATAACTCTCACAAACGTGAGTTGTAGTAAATATTTTTAAAGTACTATTCCTTCTGGAAAAGTTGCTGGTGATACTATTATTTTAGTATAGAAAATACCTTTAGCTCAAATGCCGAGAATACAGGGTATTTTTCTGTTTCTGGTGTGTGTTGTGAGATTAAGGAGTTTTTATAGTGCCTTACCACACACAAACAGAATCAAGCCCAATTTTAACTGGGAAACTGTTAACATTTTATATTAAGCCAAATCCAAAAGAGACAATCAAAAGCCTAGGAAGGAAAAAGCAGCTAGAACATATCCCCTCCAGCATCCAACACACAAATAAACAGGGAACAATACCAGACAAATAATCAGGGAAGAAACAATACTCTAATCCAGAAACCATCAAAGAAGAAGTATATCCCCAGCAAAATGGCACAGCAAGCTACTATATTTAAACAGCCAGCCACTCCATTCTCTTTCATACTAATAATGTTACCTAGCCTGATTAATGAAAAGTTGACAAAAAAAGTAACCAAGCTGTCACCAAGATCCAAACCTGACCTACAAACATTCTCCTCTATTGGATAAATCATTGATTGATCATAGGCTTGCAAAAAAAGGATTAAAAAGTCTACTGTGCTAATATTCAGGTCTTTATCTAATAAGTTTACATCAGTGTATACAGAAATTCTCCCTAATATCAATAATGTCCATGATCCATGTTGTGCCTACAGGAAACTGCAAAATATTGCAAAATGTTGCAAAATGCAAATTTCTCTGTTATTAAAAAATCATCTTAAAAAACATGATTCATTCTACATTATGTCCACATTCATGCACTACATAACCCCAGCATCACAAGCGCAATTCTCTACTACTGTGATGCCTTTAGGAAAATAGTGGGAAAAGTGGCTAATGTTGATTTATCAAGCCCCATCTGCATGGCCAAATACCTCTGTTCCTTGATTCAGCAACTTCTGAAATTGTGGCCAGAACTCTCGTCTCAGGACCTGTTTTATTTTTTGTGGCAATGCTTCCCCAGGCTCAAGAGATCCCTGGAAAGAATCAAAGCATTATTTGGTATAAGAGGTAGCTATCACTTTACACATTCTACTAACTATAACGCTACAGAAAACAGAAACTTCTATTCAGTATGCAGTTGGCAGTTTTAGGGATGGGTGCCCCTAATAAACGTAACAAAATGATAAATCTCTGTGGTGCAGGTAAGTATGAGTTGGTGTCTTGGCTACCATCTTGGTGAACAATAAAATTCAGTACTAGAAGCTCAGATAAGAATTCTGCAATCCTTAGCTGAGTTATTAAAATCAAGGATTTTAACAGGGCATATCATGCTACTATTGAGGTTCTGGTGCTGGAAATGTGGAGGTCTGAACAGGGAAGAACGTGTTTCAACTTGACCCAAGCAAACTGGACCGATTTTGGTTATAAAGGCTTCCTGGATGCAGAGATTTATCTGCCTCAGGCATAACTGGTATACAATGGGGGGATCTTCCAGGAAATGTGGCTGCTATTCAAGGAATGGTTAGCAGCCATGGCCAGAAGGGCTTTGTGCATAAATTTGTCTTCTATACTAATTGTGTCCTTTCCTGGACTGAAAAACATTACTAAGGATCATTTATGCCTTGATTGCCTGCTGAATGAATTATTGCAGGTGAACTTACATAGAAAATCAGCTGTAGCATGAGGCAGCATGGGCAGTTATGGGTGCATCTCACTAGGCCCATATTGCATTCTGTGAGCCGCATCTCAAGAGGTTGTTGCCTCCTATAAAGCTCTTTATACCTTTCTCCAGTTGTTTACGCCCAAGCCACTAGTTATGGCTGGGTAGACATGCTTTGAGTTTGACTCCTTTGATATTTCACAATCTTTAAAGATTAGGGTGTTTCCTCAGGCATGGGGCTTGTAGATTGGATGAACCTGTCATTGTGGGGTTTTCTGGCATGATTGCAGTTATGTGGTCGAATTGAAGGAGGTAAATAAGATTTTTAGACACATGCCACTTCATTGGAATAAGCTCAGTCTACAACACAGAACACACCCTTATTCACTTAATGAAAAATACACCCAACTCATATGTTTTCATCATGGAAAACTTTTATTTTTTCATACATGTGATCCTTGACTTATGATTGGTCACTCAGCAACCATTCACAGTTACAATGGATCTCTTTGGGGCTACTTATAACCTGGATTCAAAATTATGATGGCCACCCCCCATGGTCACATTTTGCATTTTGGGTGCCTAGCAACTGGCTCACACTTATGCATCATCTTGTGGTCACATGACCATGATTTTCAACATTTTTTTTTGCAGGAAAACACATTTACTTGTGCTTTCAGATAAAAATGCCCATTGCAGACAATGGGTTTGCTTAATGCTCACAGTATTTGTTTTAGAACTGCCATGTTTGCTTAATGACCACTGCAGAGAAAGTAAAATTGGATGATCTGCTTAACCATAATTTCAGGCCCAATTACAGCTTTAAGTCAAGGACTAGCAGTAGACATAATCTATTGTTTTAACAGTACATATTATTAAATCACCAACTTAGATCTTACTTAAGATAGACTTCCCCATATATGCTTACCCCAAGCAAAGCCCAATTATCCAAGAAAGGGAATTTGACTACTAGAACTTCCAGCATTTTCTTCAAGTTTTTTCTATAAATAGATCCATCAATATTCCTCCGCCAACTATATATATATAAAAAAGAAATTATAGCTTGCTGTTGTATGTTCTAAAGGAACATGAAGAAATCTACTGTATAATACTAAAATAGAATGAGCTCTGATTGTTATCTGTATGAGAAGTAGGATTCAAATGTAATTACATAAATATATTACATATAAATGTATGTATAATCAAACTCTATTACACCAGTGTCAGATATTCATTATGTACGCCCACCCCCCAAAATAAGATAGAGGCTTCTGCGTAGTAGTTAAAAATCATTGTGATGAACTTTCCCAACATCTCTAACCTATTCAGCCTGAAATATTTATTCAATAAGTTATAAACTAAAAACTTAAGATGAATAAGTTTCTCACTTTTGATAGTGAGAAAAATTCTTTTGAAACTACATGCAGCTTTTTATGACCTACATCAGATCATGAGCATCCAAGTTTTTTTTCTCTCCTGTTGCCATGGATACCACACTTAAACTGCAAAGGTGCTGCTGTCAACACCTAAGGCTCAGAAGTGTGATAAAAAGAGGAATGTAGTTCACAATACTGGTCTATGAAAACAAGATGTCTGCTTCTAATCTCTAGACGACTGTAAAACAGGAATTAAAATTAAAAACAAATTACATAGGAAGCAACATAAAATTTCCTCACCGTGTCACAACTGGATGCAGGGCATGATTGGGTCCAAAGTACCTAAGGATTCCTTGGCCCCTCAAGCCTGTCCTGCCCATGGGGTTTCTGAAAGAGAAACAATAGTTCTGCCATGAGCTAGGGCCATTGGGATGCTGCCCTTCCCCTGGGAACTCCCATCTGGAAACAAACATTTGAGGAGAGATCAGAGAATGAGAAGCTAAGCAGTTGTTATAAATGTAAGTACTAGTGAACCAAGGCTCACTAGTACTTACACACTCAGTGGTGGGATTCAAATATGTGAACACCGGTTCTCTACCGCTTCTGGAAGTCCATTCTGGGCCTAGGCAACAAAAAATTAGCTACGGGTTCTGCCAAACTGGTGCGAACTGGTTGAATCCCACCACTGGTTACACTTTAAGAAAAACCAAATTACTGAGGAAAATGCATCTGGATTGACCACCATCCAACTAAAACAGTATTATTTGACTGGCTTTCCCTGTGGAGTAATCCATCTCTAGATAATCTGCTGAAAGAGAAAGACTGCCTTCCAATGAAGTATCACAGTAATTGATTATGTCTCTTAGGAACCCTTAAGGAACCAGAGGTGTTTCACCATGCTATGATTTCAGCTCTTTGAACTTGGGAGGTGAAGTTCAGCAACTGGTTTGGTTTGAGACCATTGAACATTTTCACTAGCTTTACTGTTATGATCTCCTATCAAGCTGAAGGAGGAGAATATCTGGGTGCAAGTAACTTGACTTTCTTTTAAATGCTAAATAAAATATATCACACCTATAATTTGACTCTAGTTTTGCTCTGGAATGTGCACTCCCAACATATCTTGATCACACTACTGTGAAGCTGAAAAGTAGAGCAATTTCCTGAATAAGATACTTCCAAAGGGCTTATTTTGTTATCTGCTATAATAGCAGTACTTGAAATGGGATATTTGAATTCAAGCATAAATTTATTCAGCACATCCATGATGGGACTCTATTTGACGTCTAAATGTTAACTATTTTCAACACAAAGTGTACACAGTAACCAAGATTCCCTCTGTGTTATCAGACTTACAGTGGCAGGCCATCCTCAACAGTGTAAGTGCCATGGAAACTCTGCCTGTTGATATCTCCATCCAGGCTGTTGAAGTTTATTCTTGAATGGTTCTCCAAATTGCTGGAAGACAAGAGTAAAACTTCTATCTTTTAGCATCTTTGGCCAGTGAAAATGCAACTTTTAAATCAAAGGACCTCAGTATAACAAAAAATAATCAGAATATTTGTGATAGAAGCAAACAGAAGAAGCAGCACTCCATAAAAAGGTTAGATAATGACCAGGTATAGTGAGAAGAAGCTAGTGGTAGGAAGTAGCTATAACAGCACTTACTCTCTTGGGAACTTTGGTGTAATATCCTCTTGTGTTTCAGAACTATAGAAGGGTGGATTATAGATATCAAACTCTGTCTGTCAGAGGAAAAAGAAGCTATTTTACATTTCAAAGCTTTGCATAGCAACAAGTACTCTCATTTCAATTACAAGGTATTTTGGAGAATTCCAAAGTGAAAACTGAAATTCTTTCTGAATTTCCTTCGGCCTAGTGATCAGGACTCTTTTTTCAAAAATACAATACCATTTTTTCCCTATTGTTATAGTGTTCTGCTTTGTGGTTCTTGTGTTCTTTTAGGATGAAAATATACATCTCTTATAATAAACAAACATGATTGCCCATGCATGAGCAACAGTCACATGCATATACATGAGGCAAGGAAACAAAAGAAAAGGAAGCAAAATCTACTTAAGGCAATACCATTTGCTATATATTTGCTGTATATTTCACTATCTTTTTTATCCTTGCTTCCACCATTTCAATACAGTGTTCATATATTGTGTTCTTTAAGCTTCTCAGATCTTTCCCTTTTAAAGGATCTCATTAAACTCTTTCTGGACTTCCCATTCTTCACAATGCAGTCTGTTGTAATTCAGTCCTTATTCATTTTTGCTATACGATCAAATCACCTCTACATACTTTTTTCTACTGGTCCTTCACTTTTTTTATTCAAGCAATATTCATGACCTATTAATTCTTGACCCAATCTCTTTTTTAACATACCCACTTCTAAAGCATTCCATTCCTTCTGCATTCAATTAATTTTATATTTTTCCTAACATATTCAACTTTAACTTCCATATAACATTGGGGAGAGGCACACGCTTTACACAGACATTTTTACTTCTTTCAGTAGGCATTATTTCCTCGCTGTAAACAGATAACATCCATTTTTTTAAAATCAGCATTTGCATTGCTTACAATTTCTCCATCTACAAACTGAGTTCAGAGCCAAAGCCTCTAAACTCAGGTGATCAGATCCAACCAAATCTATTCATTTCATTGTATATGTATTGAGTTTATAGTTTTCCAGAATTCTCAGAATTGTAGCCTGGTGAATTTATGTAGAATTCTTGTTATAGGAGATCAGATTTTATCAGAATTCAGATTTGTTTGGTAAGAGGATAATTTAAACAAACACTACTAATATGCTTGATTGATTTGGCATTAACCAGAATAACAGAACCAACTCTCTAAATTTAGGATTCTTACCTCCCATGGCACCTTCTCATCTGGCACAGGAAAACGAATGACAGGAGACTTGGGGTACAAGAGGTTCCTAGAACTCACATGGGACAGGGTGAATAAAGATTCTGAGACTTCCTCTGCTTGCTGCTCCTTTGTTTCAACAGCCCTGCTAGGGACTAAAAAACCCCCACAGTACTCTATTTATCATATGCATCATCAATCAATCCAACATTTTTCTGCAATCCAACATTTTCCATAATTTTGGGATAGATTCTATTTGTATTTGAGAAGCATTAATGATTTACACCAGGAGTCCCCAACCCTTGTCTGTACTCTGGTGCCGGGCCACAGCCCATTTGGAACCGGGCCATGTAAATGGTGGGCAAGCATGCATGTGTGCGTGCATGTGAAGCTGCCTTTGTGAAAGTGGCACGCAGGCATGAAACCATCCCCTCCCTCCCTCACTGCCTTTGCCTCCACTAGTCCACCGAGCCAGAAAGGTTGAGGAATGCTGACTTACAGTATTCTAAGATAGAATAATATCTGTCACTGCACTAGCATATTTAATGATAAGAAACACATATTATAAAGGCAAGCGAAATACTTCAGTTTTCCCCATTTCCTCTAATTATATTAAATGTTCAACTCCCATGATCCCCAATCAACATGGGTCCTCAAACAGACTATAGGATTATGTAATATACTTTATTTTATTCTCTCTAATTCTTGAAGGGGCAATGCTTCCCTTGAAACAACAGATCCATGATCAGAGAGTCCTCCTCAATTCATAGCTACCACTTGATAGGCAAGTAGAGACCATGGATAGAGGAGATATTTTTTTATACACAACACACACACACTGTTTATAAGTAACTCAAGGTGGTGAGCATACCTAATACTCCTTTCTCATCATATTCTCTTCATAACAACAATCCTGTGAGGTGGGTTGGGCTGACAAAGAGTGATTGGCCCAAAATCACCCAGCCACTTTTTCATGCCTAAAGCAACACTAGAACTCACAGTCTCCTTTCTAGTCTGATGCCTTAAAGGACTTGCCATAGTAATTCATATTATTATCACCACCAGTTTGGTTTACTGCAATGCTCTCCATTTGGGGCTGCCTCTGAAGATCACTCAGAAATGCAATTGGAGTGAAGCATATAGGTGGCCCACCCAAGTTATCCAATATGAATTTTCTGCTGATATATTTTAATGATTCCCATAAGTGGAAATGAAAGAGATGGGGTTACGAGCAATGTTATTCTCTTGCAGCTCCCATGTTGTGGAACACTTCCCTTTTGAGATTACGTTGTTATTTTCACTGTTGGGCTCAGAAATAAAAATGTACCAGAAGACCTTTGAGGATTCATTTACTGTTTTTATTGTTGTGTTTTTATTGATTGTTATGTTTTTATTCTGTTTTTATATTTCTGTATTATAAACCACCAGGACTCCCTTACCAATCTAGAGCTAAACATAATAAACAATTAAATATTATACAGTCAGACACAAAACAGAAAGAATTTTCAGTATTAAGAACCTTTTTGGCCAAAGAAATATAACACTCTTTTTCCTTCTTCAGTATACTTGTCATACTATTGAAAATTATTTGGGATAAAAAGCAGTTTTCTCACATTTCTACTCAATTCATTTCATATCAGGTTTTAAACCCAACAATAGTAAAAACATTTCTATGCAAGCAATTGATATAAATTCTAACATTCTCATGTTATGAATGTCTTCCCTTAAGCAGTCTTACCTTCTGAGAAAAGCCCATTGCGCAAGACAAATATTGTTTTTCCTCTCTCAAATTTAAAGAATTTAATGTGGTGCATGTAGAAACCTCTTCTCATTTTTTCTAGGGAGTCAGAGGGACAGCAAGTGACCTGAAGTCACCTAATGAGCTTCACAGTTGAGTGAAGACTTGAACCTGAAATTTCTCTCATTGCAGTCCAGTACTTTAATTATATCAGACAGTTTAACAGGCAAAGGTGACTCAGCAGTGCGGTAAGGATCAAGATGGCATAGTGAATATTTATTGCAGAAAGTAATAGAGCAAATAGGGATCTGCAAAATTCTGCCCATGATGCCACTATAGCTGAGGTATATGGCCATTACTACATAATGTGAATCAGTGGTAAGAAAATCTACATTCATCTTTAAACGAGGCCAAGTGAGCAGAACAAAATATAACTTGGAATAGTGAGAATTCTTTGTTTACTTCTTGTGATACATTTATATTCAAATTCTGAAAAATAAAGAAATTATACACCACAGTTCCACTATAAAGGATGTGTGTGCATTATTGGTTCAAACTATAAAGTGGAAAAGAAGGATTATGAAATGAAAAATGATACATACCTGTATACCAAAATACAAATCTAATGCAAAATGGTTCTCAGAAATATGTGCTTGCAGTGACACATACCTAAAACAGGAATATCTTCCTCTGTACCAAACCCACTGTTAGACAATGATTGAACAATCCATTTTAATGCCTTTGCAAACTGGAATGCCTACAGAAGAAGCAATTTATTACACATGTTAATTACTATGTTCGTTAAAAAGTGACTTTCGAGAAAGAAGGTTCAAAGATGTAGCTGTTTAGTGTATCTAGTCCCCAACAAAGAACTCTAAAGTGTTTATAGTGTTGGTTCATGTGGTAATCTTTTTACAAGAGACCATTAAAAATTGGTTATCCCATTGAGACATATGCCTGCTTGTATAACGTAGCTTATTATATAGCTTAATCCACCACTTACCATATTTTCTGACACTGTGAATTTAATGACTAAAAGAAGCTTCAGTGGAATATGGATATTTGCAGAGATGCCTTTACTTCACGCAGTGTTCTCTTTTAAATGCTATAGTATGACTGACATGATACAGCTTTATATGGTTTCCAGTTCTCTGAGAGAGCTATCTTATGTCCAGATGAGTCCATGTTTTGCATAAGTTTTCAATATTCTCCATCTAGGATAAGCTGAGAGAAAGCTTTGGAAGTTAGTCTTACCTGTTCTTCCAAGTGCAACAATCTTTGTTCCAATAGCCTCATCATTTTCCCCTGATCAAGGTTCAGCATTTCTGTTAATTTATCCACTCTGGGGGAAAAATGATTATTATTTCAAGCAATATCAAAGGGAGAGCGATTACACCCTCTAAACATGATGTTTTGTGACATTATCAATTGCCTCAATTCAAATAATTAGGATGCTCTTCCACTAGTGAACACATGCAGATCTCTTCCTACCAATTTGTATTCTGAATCCTAATAGTAGTACTAGGGACAAGTGGGGTTTGGAGTAGTCAGAAGGCCTTAAATGAGGTATGCATTAGCAGAGTTATTCAAACCTTTCACATTCTCATGAATTATATTTCACAATCTTGATCATTAGCTGGCCTGCTATTATTACTACTAAATTGAAAAGACAATCTTCACCTGTCTGTGATGTGCTGGATCTTCTGCTCAGGAATCTGTTCTTGTTGACACTGTTGGAGTTGCAAATAATTTTCCTTCAAGTACATCTCCCAGGACAATAAAGCTGCCTCTTCGTTCTTCTCAAATTTCTTTTCTGCAGGCCAAATGAAATATAACACATAGAGCTCTCATCTCAGACTATTGACAATTACAATAGAGATGGACAATCATGTACAAATGGGGTAGGACTCACATCATGACAGTGTGGCACTTGTTTTGACACTTTGATGAAATTAGATTAGATTTCATTAGATTAAATTATAATAGATCCTGTGGAGACTATTGCTCAGTAATGACCCAACTCAACCACTGGTAACAATGGACTTAAGAAACAAAGAATTGCTGGTGGAATAGCAATTTTTGTTAAAAAAAATTTCCTACCTATCAAAATCAACTTTTATTGCTTTGCTCCTTTCTCTTCACTATCTTACTCTAGAATAGAATAGAATAGAATAGAATAGAATAGAATAGAATAGAATAGAATAGAATAGAATAGAAGCTGGAAGGGACCTTAGAGGTCTTCTAATTCAGCCCCCTGCTCAAGCAGGAGAACCTATACCATCTCAGACAAGTAACTGTCCAGCCTCTTCTTAAATATTTCCAGTGATGGAGCGCCCACGATTTCTGGAGGCAAACTCTTCCACTGGTTAATTGTCCTCACTGTCAGGAAATTTCTCCTTAATTCTAGGTTGCTTCTCTCTTTGATCAGTTTCCAACCATTGTTTCTTGTCCTGCCCACAGTATTTTGCTGATTTATTACCTTAATCAATTTGTCGAAGAATGAAATAAGATTGGTTTGGCATGATCTGTTTTTAACAAACCCGTGCTGGCTACTAGTTATAACTTTGTTTGCTACTAGTTGTTCACAGATCTGTTTTTTCATTATCTTTTCTAGGGTCTTCCCACGTATTGATGTTAAACTGATTGGTCTGTAGTTTCCTGGGTCTGTTTTTTTCCCCTTTCTTAAACATGGGTACCACATCAGCCCTTTTCCAATCTTCAGGTACTTCCCGTGCTCCAGGGTTTTTGAAAGATTTGATGCAATGGTTCTGAGATAATATCTGCCAGCTACTTCAAAACTCTGGGATGTAATCTGTCAGGCCCCGGTGATTTATATTTGTCAAGGTCGGATAGGTTTTACCATTTTCTTGCTTATTTTAATTTTTATTTCTAATTTGTCTTTTGCAGTGGGTTTTTTAGTATTTTGGGCTATAGTTTCTTTTTGTGTGAAGACTGATGCAAAGTATGAGTTAGCAGCTCTGCTTTATCCCTGTTGCCTGTTATTTCCTTGCCATCTTCTCTTTAGTGGACTCTACAGTTTCCTTGACTTTTTTCTTGTTAATATGTTGGAAGAAACTTTTTTATTATTATCCATTATTTCTGTTGCAAGTCTTTGTTCATTCTCAGCTTTTGCTTTCCTGACTTCATCTTTGCATGTTCTGGCTGTCTGCTGATAATCAGCCTTAGTTATGTACCCCTCTTTCCATTTTTTGTATTTGTCCTTTTTGTCTTTCAGTTTGTCAGAGAGATCTTTATGCAGCCATGCTGATTTCTTCTTGAATTTCTTGTTTTTCTTTTTCAGTGGTATTGTGCTGGTCTGGGCTTTTATGATCGCATTTTTTAGAGTTTCCCACGCTTCTTGGGTTGTTTTCCCCTTTAGGATTTTCATCCATGGGATCTTTCCTAGGTTCTCTCTGAGTTTATTAAAGTCAGCTCTTTTGAAGTTTAAGATACTGGTTGGATTGTTTTCTGTTGCTAGTGTTTGTGTTATATTAAATTCCAGTATGACATGGTCACTTTCGCCCAAAGTTCCGGCAACTTCAACTCCCTTTATCACTCCTTATCCATTAGTTAGAATTAAGTCCAATGTGGCTTTACATCTAGTTCCCTCCTCCACCTTTTGGATGACAAAATTGTCAGCTAGATTGGTTAGGAATCTGATCTCCCATTCGTTGCAGAGTTTGTCTCCCAGTTGTTATCTGGATAGTTGAAGTCTCCCTTTACTACTGTATATGAGCAATTGCTCTATATTAAAAAAATAATATCCTTGTATTTCTCTATTAGTTCAGCAGACATACTTATAAGATTTCAAGTATACCTTCAAACTTTCATTGAGATTGATATAATAATGAAACATTTCAAATTCAAAATCAAAAGGATGTTTCAGAATATGGGAGGTACCAAAGATAACACTGGAAGGTGCAAATGTAGTGCAAACTCTTTAAATACATTGATCTTTTTTCTGAAATTTTATACCAACAACCACTAATTGTGGAGAAAGAATTGCAAGAAGGCACTACATGCTCCCAAACACCATTTTGTCTTTGATCCCAAAATGCTGCACAATCCTAAACGCTAGTTTCTTAATGTCTTACAGAATTTATCATTGCATCTTTAATTAGGCAAAACCACAATTCTACAGCAGATTAACCTTGCAAGAATAGTATCAAAAGATTGTATAAGTTATTTTAGCAATATTCACACAATCAATACATTTCTGTGTAAACATTTGTAAAGTACTTGTTTAAGAGGTTTTCCAGAACCACAGACAAGTAAAAATGAATTGATGCGACCATTTGTCACTTCAGCATATGTGCCTTTTTATATTCTTCCCAATTAAATAGTTACTTGTAACTTAATATCTGATAGTTATTCATGAGCGTATAACTTCAGACATCAGCCCAAAATCTTTCCCAAATTGAAAAATGTTCTTGAATCAAACATCTTAATGAATACATATTCTCCTAATATAGAACACAGATAAAATAATACTCTGAATGTTGAATCTCCTTTTAGCAAAATTTCTGCCATTTTCTGTTTACCTAACTAGAAATCAAAGAAGGAATGGATAATTCTAACATATTTCATGTTATGAGCATTCTGGGTTTCCTCTTCCATTGATATATTACAGGAAGCCAAAATCAGAGTCAGGAAAAGAAATATAGGATGCTTTCTATAAAATTAGCTATCAGCTTCTTCTGTTCATAATCCTTTTCATTTGATAGGTTTCTGGCCAAATGATTTCTCTTAGAAAGTTTCTATATTTGATACACTGATATTCTCACCCAAATTAGTCTGCTGACAGTGCTCCCTTTGTCACATAGAATAGACTGACTAATTCCTTGTTCTGTCCATAGTATTATTTGTAAGTTTCACTAAAGATGTCTTCCTTCCTTCCTTCCTTCCTTCCTTCCTCCCACCCTCCCTCCCTCCCTTTTCAACTCTAAAGAGTACTGCTTTAATTATTTTTACTGTAACTGAAATATCCTTATTCATCATGACACTTAGGTTTGTCGTTGCCTTTCTAGAATTAGCTCCTCTTCCATTTTTACACATGCTGTTCCTTTATATCAATGTTTTGATCCTGGGAAAACAAAACTCTATACCTGCTTTGTTCACTGCTTTATAATCAACTGACAGTTCACTAAATGGTTGAGTGGGCATTACCATTGTATACTTTCTTAACTTCACATTAATCCAAGGTTTTTGTTGTTCCTTATTTGTTTGTTTATTTAAGTCTTCATCTTTGCAATGAATAAGAAACTGTCATAAGAATTGAATTTGGAAAAAAGAGAACAGAATAAGATAGGGAGTAAGATGAAAGTTCATATTGTCTCCATGTCTGCTTAACTTTTACCAAACAAATTTATATGTGGCAGGATTTGGAGAAATGGCAGCTGAAACCAAAATCTAAGGTCTTTAACTAAGCAACAACAAATTAAAATATAAAAACATTCCTTTTAACCAAAAGTTATTAAAAAAAATCTATCAGTTCCTTATGAAAATAAAAAGTGAACAATTGCTTGAATATTAAATATTAATGTTCATGTTCATATTTAGTAAATCTGGAGAACTTTGATTCTGTTCTGATAACTTCCATTTGTGTGAAAACAACTACAACAACAAAGAAAAGTACAGAGACAAAAAAAGCCTATAAAATTTTATGAACAGAGGTGCCAATTAGTTAAGTCATAGTGCTGGTGTGCTTTGAGACCTCTAATTGATCCAAAAGCTCTGATGGATTTTTTTTATGCTCCATATTCTAAAGATCACCTCTTTTGATTCTCCTTTTTTCTTTGTTTCTAGTGTTAATGAATTACAAGTTGTCATAAAGTGTTGACAGGCAGAGGCTGCACAATGTTACAGCCTGGCTCAAAATATCAGGGTCTTACTGAGCTGCTTGTGCCGTGCAGGTGGTTTCTGAAGAAACACACATTTGACAAATATCTGCAAGTGATTTAGGAGGATAAAGGGTGGTGGAGCTGGTGGCCTGCCATTATACTCTTCAATCAGGTCATGACGCTGAAATTTCCAGATCTGGTCAGTGTGCTCCTGCACTTGCTGGAATGTGTAACTGGGGAGAAGAAAAGCACATGCATTACTGAGTTTAATCTTCTAAATAACTCATGAAAACACAGAGCATAAAGGGTACTCTCCCATATATCCCACTAACTAGGGGTCAATACAGAAACAACATCTCTATTTAAGGTAGTGGAAGAATGGATATTATAAAACTGTTTATTACTACCTATTAAAGCTGCCTCTCTTTACCAGTGTTGTGAGTCCTCGCCTGCCAAGAGATCCAGCAGCCAAGTCAGATGAATCGGATGAGGGGGAAGGGTTGCTTGGGGTCACATCAGAGTCTGTGGAAGGCTCTGAGGAGCATGAAGATTCAGAGCTAGATGTGACACCATCTACTCACGCTCAGGCAGAGAGACAGCTGGATTAGGGGCCTGAACTGAGCGAAGACGAGGAGAAGCTGGGGCCTGTTCCAGATGCACAGATGTGCAGGGAGGAAAGGCATGCAGGACACCGGAGGGCGGTGAGGCGGCTCTCCAGGAAAAATAAAAGACTCTAAGAAGCCACAGCCTGGCTGGACTATAAAGAGGAGAGGTGTGGGAAGGGCTGGATGCCAAAGGCAACTGTTCATGCTATGGCTTTGTGCTTCTGTCGTTGGATATCTTGCCTCAGAATTCTTGGATATTTATCTAGGTTTGTCAGATTTCTGTGTGTTTGAGTGATTTAAACCTTGAGCATTCCAGCTGAGAACTCAGAGACTGATCTTCTTCGTTTCAACAGCTAAAGGACTGGTTGGAGTTTTGTTCCATAAAAGCTGTGTAAAATAAAAGAGGTTTATCTTATCAAGTCCTGCCTTGTTCCATGCAAAGGGGTTTTCCTCGCAAGTAAGCGGTTGAGCAATATTCACGGAGGCTGGGACAGAACTACCTGCCTCTGAGTCCTGCCTCTGAGCCAAGTATTTTTGGTTCACTTTCTGTTCTATGCTGTTATAATCAATGTGAGGGGCAGACATTTTCATTTTCTTTTCTTATCAGTGCTCCCTAGGCAATACAGAAATCCAGAGTGTGAAACTTACTTGAACATAGCAATGAGCAGGTTGAGAAGGAGAATGTTGGTGAAGAGTAGGTAAAGGCAAAGTAAAATTACTGTCAGCCACTCTGGAAAAATGGGCTTCTTGTTGGCTTCACTGCTCTCAGGACATTTGGGCTTATATGGATCAGTCCCATTTGGACTGCACTGATCAAAGTTGAAATTCACTCCTGTTAGAAAACACAGTAAACCCAACAAGTGCTGGCTGTTACAACAATAAGAGGAAGGTCATCTAATTCCCTGATGCACAATAAGTAACATACTGCATTGCCATATAAACAACAAATATCTATCATTATAAAGGCTTTAAAAATCTTTTTTGGAAAGGCCTGGGATGAATGACTCAACCCTCTATGATTTGATTTTTAAAAGGTAGTGCTAAAAAGGACAGATGATTCAGATGTGCACACACTATGAACAGTTATTAAGATGTGCTGCCATTGAAATGCTGCCAGGGACAGGTCACAACTTCTCTGAGAACCTTGTGGTTATTTGGCTTCCTATTTATAGCCAGAGTCTAAAATATGAGCCCAGGAACACAGCAATGTAATTGTTTTGGGATTAAGAATAGAGTATCACGAGGCACATACTTCATATGTTATTTAAGTAGACCAGAACTGGATTAAAAGAGACAGTTTCATTTGGTTAAACTTTTCTCATATAAAGACAAGCTAAATGGCATTGTTGCTATTTATGATGCAGCTTTATCAGGTATGGTATCATCTTTCACAATTATCTATCCTGTTGGCCATTTATTCATAGTTTTATTGATTTTTATACACTATGAAATGTAATAATAATAATAATAGTAGTAGTAGTAATAGTAGTAGTAGTAAAGTTGGAAGGTACCTTGGAGGTCATCTAGTCCAACCCCCTGCTCAGGCAGGAAACCCTATACCATTTCGGACAAATGGCTGTCCAGTGTTGGAGCATTCATCGTTTCTGGAGGCAGGTTGCTCCACTGATTAATTGTTCTCACTGTCAGGAAGTTTCTCCTTAGTTCTAGGTTGCTTTTCTCCTTGATTAGTTTCCATTCGTTGCTTCTTGTCCTGCCTTCAGGCGCTTTGGAAAATGACTTGATTCCCTCTTCTTTGTGGCAGCTCCTGAGATATTGGAACACTGCTATCATGTCCCCCCTCGTCCTTCTGTTCATTAAATTAGACATACCTAATTCCAGCAGCCGTTCCTTATATGCTTTAGCCTCCAGTTCCCTAATCATCTTTGTTGCTCTTCTCTGTACTCTTTCTAGAGTCTCAACATCTTTTTTACATTGTGGTGACCAAAACTGGATGCAGTATTCCAAGTATGGCTTTACCAAGGCATTGTAAAGTGGTATTAACACTTCACATGATCTTGATTCTATCCCTCTGTTAATGCAGCCTAGCACTGTGTTGGCCTTTTTGGCAGCTGCAGAACACTGCTGGCTCATATTTAGGTGATTGTCCACTAGGACTCCGAGGTCCCGCTCACAGTTACTACTATTGAGCAAGGTACCCCCAATACTATACCTGTGCATTTGGTTTTTCTTGCCTAAATGTAGAACCTTGCTTTTTTCACCATTGAATTTCATTTTGTTAGATAGTGCCCAGTGTTCAAGTCTGTCCAGATCCTTCTGTATCTTAAGCCTGTCTTCTGGAGTGTTGGCTATTCCTGCCAGCTTGGTGTCCTCTGCAAATTTGGTAAGTTCCCCATCTATCCCCTCGTCCAAATCGTTGATGAAGATGTTAAAGAGCACTGAGCCCAGAATAGAGCTGGGGCACCCCACTACACACTTCCCTCCATGTAGATGCGGTTCCATTGAGGACCATACGCTGATTACGGCCGGTCAGCCAGCTACGGATTTGTACAGACAGTTGTCAGAGAAGGTCATAAGATGTTTAGTGATGAATAGTTTGTCACTAACACAGTTGAACAAACTGACGCTTGCTAATCCAGAGTATAAAATAATTCTGTACTACATACCATCAACATAGGAAGGGATCTGTCCAAATAATGTCAAGTACGAATGGTAAAAAACACCTCGGAAGATCCAGTCTACCCGTTTCTCATTGTGGATTAGGATAGCTTGTTTGGCTACTCCAAAGGATACAATCCAAACAGCCAAGAGGAAGAGGAAAAAAAAGATATCCTTCATCTGTAAACCCACCAAACAAAACAGAAAGAACAATCACTTAAAATTTCTTTGGTTCAGGCATCCTCATCATAAAAGTGAATTATGAAAAATTACTATTAACTTTCCATGGTGTTTACCAATAGAAACTACAACTTACCATTCTCTTCACTATAATAATCTTGGGACCAAGAGTTTTACTGATTGTGAATATGTGCAATAGACGCAGGCAGAAAATAATGAAAGCTAAGGATAGTACAATTCTTCCAGAGTACAAAGTTGCTGGGAACCATCTTAGAGCAAAGGATAGAAACAAAAATACATATTAATTGTATTACCAATGTAACATTGGGCCACAATTCCCAAAGATTGCTGGCCTTAATTATAAGGAAGTATTCGTTGCCAAAAGATTCAGAAATCTGAACTAATATTTTTCTTAAGGCAAACAATCATTCACACAAGAGGATTATGCATACATTCCCTCTACAGCAATATTTCATGGCATGCTTAGCATATTAACCAAAATACAAAAAAGACTCAGAGAAATTGTGGATTAACAGGATAGTAATCTCTGTATAGGAAAAGACTAGCCAGAAAGGCTATATATTCAGGACAATTCTCTGTCCAACTGATCAAAGAGCTGACAAAGGGGAATTGCATATCAATGAAGCTTCCTCATATGTAGAGTTAAAAGGCAAGGATTTGAATTCTAAGGCATATGTTGAGAGAATGTGATATAAACCTAAGTCTGATCTTAGGGCATTTGAATTTGGGTGAAAATTATTTGCATTTTTATTACTTTTTCTTTTATATGTGATATCAAGTAGATTTTTTAAAGATAGTGATTAGCATAACAAAACAATCCTCCCACCCTCCACCAGGATAACCATACACAGAGACTTACCTACAGACCAACCCAACTATAAAGATCAGAATGGCACAGGCATCCAGTTTATTCCAGAAATCACTGAAATATAAAGAAGCCATTTTGATCAAGCCAAACCCATCAGGATCACAAAAAAGCTGAAAAAGAAGAAAGGAAGAAAAGAAGAAAGGAAGAAAAGAAGAAAGAAAGAAAGAAAGAAAGAAAGAAAGAAAGAAAGAAAGAAAGAAAGAAAGAAGAAAGAAAGAGAAAGGAAGGAAGAAAGGAAGGAGGGAGGGAGGGAAGGAAGGAAGGAAGAAAGAAAAAAAGAAAGAAAGAAAAGATTTACCATGGATGGTCAAACATTATGATCCTACTAATAATCTATAGTATATTGAAAAGAAAATAAGATGGAGTGCTCCCTCTTCTCCCATCCCATGTACTCTTCTAAAAAAGATTTCTGAAGTTGTTCAATCAGTTTTTATTACACTGAAACTAGCCCAGGGGTTAATTTGATTTTGAATTAGGATATTGAATGCAATGTCCTTAAATGTTACCTAGGTTTGTTCAGTTTACACAGAAAAATTTCCTACTATATAGAGCAATCAATAACCTCTCAAAATGATATATACAGGCTACTTTTCATTAAGATCTCAGGGATGAGAGATACAAATACTATATTATGTCATATTCCCATGTATGGGCATTTTACACGAGTTCTCTATTTTTACACGCTGCATGTCCTCTGAAGTATTTTCAATTATATTGACCACCAAGAAGCACCACATTACTGGTTTCAACCTCACTGGAAATTGTCAGACATGATTAGCCTTATATTGTTCTATGGAGTTCACAGTCTCCACTTCGGCAGAACTAGTAGCTAATTTTTTGTTGCCCAGGCCCAGAATGGACTTCTGGAAGTGGCATCCACACAGAAAACTGGTTGTTCACATATTTAAATCCCACCACTGGGGAACCCCAATGTGTAACATCTGACTACTATATCTGACAATTCCCAATAAGGATGGAAATGGTGATGCAATGTCTCCTAGTGGTCAATGACGCTGAACAATCAAGTAACAGTCTGAAACTGAAGAGTGATGTTGTACTGATTTGTGCTACAATACCTGTCGGGCCTCTTCACACACTCAGGAGAAAAGCCAGAAATAGATGACATATTCTGGCCAGGATGGAGTTGACTGGAAATCTGTCATCAACACAAAAGCAAATAGGCAGAGAAAACTGAAGTAGGAAAGGATGTTGAAGTGGAAGATGACCACAGGAGCAGTGAAGAAAGCTCGGAAGCGGTTCAAACCAGGCGTTGGCTGGATCCTTTTTTTCCTGTGAAAGGAAAGAATAGCAGATTGACCTGGATATACTTATAGCAAGAGTTCATACCTCTTCCACATATCACCATTTCTACTCTATGATTATGACTACATGGGTAGTCTTATACTTTGTCAATGATCTTATTTTTCTTTTCATCAAACAAAGCCCCTCCCTGCCAAGATTCACCTTGGATAATTGCTGAGAACACTTATATCCAGCTTTAAAAATTATGCCAACTTTATAATAGCAAAAATACCCCATATCTTATGCATAATTAAAAAGCATTTCTTAACATGGGTGCTACATCTAGACATAGCAAAAATATATGCTTTTATTGGCTATTGAACCGAATTTGATTCTGTGTTTTATTGGTTTCAAGTTGGACATAAATTTGTATACTGCTGGATCATTTTACTAGAAAATTGGAAATACTAGTCTACATGTTCTACATATTGTATAGATTTCAATAATTTAGAAAATGAAGAAGCTGACTCTCTTATGAAAGACACTGTGGAAAAACATAACTGAAGCTGATAATAATATGGCTAATCTAATAGTTAAGATGTGTTTTACTCGCATCTAGTACAGCTCTGGGCATTTTACAGCCCCTGGGCCACATCTGGCCCACTGGCTATCCCTGCTGCTCACATGAGATCAATTGGAAATGTAAATGTGTGGGTGGGAGAAGAAGAGTCAGGTCCGGCTCTGTGTAGTCACTATGTGGTCCTTCAATCAACTGGTGGTCGTGGGAGGGCAAGGAGAGAAAGTGCTTTTCTGCATCCATGCAGTAATCTCTTGCCTGGCGCAGCCCGAGAAGGCAGTGGAGGCAGTCATTGCATGAGGGGACCTGGGCTCAGCCACCCACTGCTGCCTCGGACAAAGTTTGACATTAGGGACGAGTGGGCAAAGCACAAAGCCCTCTACAACAAACCCAGTTCCTTATTATGGCCCTTGAGAAAATTACCCCTCATCAAGTATAAATGTGATAAATAAATATTAGATAGCATATAAGTTAATCAGCTTTTTAGAGAAGAGTAGGTTAATTAGTGGATTGCTGACATCTGAATTTTGCCCTAGTGGTATTTTATCTTGCACAGTAGGGAGGTGAGATGAAGTTACAAAGTCCTATAAATCTCCCTGTTCCACCATAAAACAGTACAGTCAAGTTCTGCAAGTACCTGAAAGTTATGATGCCTGTATAGAGAAGAGGGAAGAACAGCATGCACAGGATGACCTGACATATCCCATTATCAACACTCAGTTTTCCCCACCAAACTCTGGTTAGGAAGGCCTGAAAAGAGAAGTGACATTTTGAGAGTTAGATATCCTGGATAAGGGAATCAGTTTGCAGAGAAGAATGAGATTGAACTCACCAAAGGTCTTAGGCCAAAAAAATGAGACTAAGTAATGGATAGATAATTATACAATACACATTGGCCATGTCCTAGCACAGGGGTAGGCAACTTTGGCTCTTTTATGACTCGTGGACTTCAACTCCCAGAATTCCTGAGCCAGCATGGCTAGCTCAGGAATTTTGGGAGTTGAAGTCCACAAGTCATAAAAGAGCCAAGGTTGCCTACCCCTATCCTAGTAGGACAGAAGAGGTCACCATATGTGTATCCCAGCAAGATACAAATTGCTGACTGGAGTAAGGGATCTCACCAAACTGCAACAGAACTAGGAAAATATAATCCAGGCATGATGGGTTACTATGTGACAGCTTGACTCCATGTTTCTCACTAGAAACATATGCTTCCAAAATAGCATTGTTTTCTTGTGTAAAGATTGCATTTCAGTTTTTTTCCAAAATTTTAAGGTTTTTTTTTTCAGATTTTTTTTCCTGGATGTCTTTTTTAAAGGGCTACTTCTTAGAAATGTGGTTGATTGTGTCAAAAATGTAATCTAGGTCTGTTTAGTGTGAAATTAGTCATGTTGTCATCTGGCTTAGAAATACTGCTTATGAAACAGTGATGCCATTATATAACATTCCCCTATCCCCACTTCAACTTCAATTGCCTGCTCAACAATTCTGCATCATTATTTGTTTTCAAATGCCATTTCACTGGAACAGAGTTTATGTACTGTAGTGCAAAGCGCGGAACATTTGTGTCATGAAGCTACAGAAGCAAATAACATAGGCACTTACATAGTTGTGGAAAGAAAGCATCTTTTGGTGAGAATTCTATTTAAGATATTCATTTTTCTGTATCCTTGGGGGTTTAGCCACAATATGGTGTGTGAGTGTGTGTCTGTATAGACACTGCTGTCTAGGAGAGGTGGTTCCTCCAGCACAGTGTTTCTCAACTTGGAAGATAGGTGGACTTCAATTTCCAGAACTCCCCAGCCAGCTGTCTGTGAATTTTGGAAGTTAAAGTTCACTTCCACTATCCAGGTTTAGAAACACTACAGTAGTAAATTGAAAAGGAAATAGTGGGTGATGTTGGTTCAGCAATGCAATCATTTCTTAGTAAAAGTTATACATGCAGAGGCTACATAGTGTGCAACTGGCAGTAAATACGGCTGGTAAGGGTTACTTCGATCCACCTTTTAAAAAATTAACTAGGAATCTGATTTTTTATCCATTTTATCCTTTTAAAATCCATTATTCTGCATTCTGGAATAATAGAGAAAAGGTTTTGACCTTCTGCGTAACCTATTTTCAAAAAAGCACAATCATATCCTCCCACAGTCTTAAGCATAAGTATTTCCACTTTTTTCATATTATATAGCTTGTAGTCATCTGATTATCTTTGTTTTTTTTAAAAAAAGCTACTTCTGTTCATCTGAATTCTTCTCAATGTGTTGTATTTAATACAACAGATCCACATTATATACAACTGTTTGCTTCTCTTACTATAGAATCAAAACAAGAGTATTGTATTCTTTGTTGCCTGAAGAGATCATAAGAAAGTAAGTCACACCTGAACACCCCCATGAGAAACAAACGTCATATTTTTGCCTTCCAGAGCTAACTGAAGGCATGTGGTTTTCCCCCAGGCATCAGAGACCCGGATCAGGAGATTCTGGGCTTTTTCTTCATCCTTCCGATAACATTCTGTGAAGACACCTAGGAAAACAAGCAAGATGAGAAACAGTTACAACTCCTACCATATTCCTGCCTCATTTTTTTCTTTGGAATGCAGAGGCATTTTAGCTTCAAAAGCCTATGAGGTAGCTTATATTGAAAGATAACAAAGTTCCCTGGGCCCACATAACTGATTTTTATTGATAAGGCTTAGAGAAGTAGAAAGGTATCAGTTATACTCTGATGGCAATCTCATCATGAAAGATAATTTCATGATCTTTGTTCTATTAATTAAAGAACAACCATAATTCATATATCAGTAACATTAATTTTCTTCAGCAGAAGCATCATTATTAAAACAAGTGCTGTATTTAAAAAAGAACTTCAACTTATTAGCCTGTCTGATAACCCAAACAATATTACTGCAGTCCTTGATGCTCTCTGAGCTTGGCTGCTTTCTTGCAGACCTTTCATTGCCCAACTAGGTAACATCATCAGTAAGAAGTAAGAAGTTTGCTCTCAGTTTATATTCTGGATGCTTGCCCTGTCAGTGGTGGGATTTGTCTTGGTGGTTTCATCCTTAATTAGCTGTTATTTACTGTTTGATTGTTTGTTTTAATTGATAGTTCCTTGATTGGGTATTGTTTACTGCTTGAAGTTTCAGCAAACAAAATAGGGAAATGCTATGATGTTAGTTCAGTACTGAAATACTCCAGGGCAATGGTTCTATCTGGAACCAAAGTAGCTGCTGTTCACATGAATGGAGCTAGAGTAGCACTTATTACAGTTTCTTGGCTTGAAGCTGAAAGAGTTGTGTATGACAGCTGCCCCAAGTAAAACTGTAAGGAATTGAATAAAGCATGGTTGAATACTGTGATAACAATACCGCTACAAAACCAACCTAGACTCACCTATAGCTCGGTGCTCATACTTGTCTGCCAGGGTTAGCATTTCCTCACTACTGTCAGTGTCGTTTTCCTCCTTAGATAATTCCTTCAGCATATTGCTGCAGGCCAATGCTGCTGCAATGCAATCTCGATTCTGAAGCAATAGGACAAGTCAGCAGGAAAACAGTATTTCTGGCTTCAAGTAGACTGTGTTAATTTTGAGAGTCTGTTTGGGAAGGGAGAATGCACATTCCCAGATTGCAGGGAATCTTGCTATTCTCCTTCTCATTGCTGGCTATGGCCCATTCCCCCTGAAATGGTAAATCTGTGTCTAAACTATATCTCTTCTAATTGCAAGTTACATTTATGTAACAGATATATCACAGATTTACCAGACCTAAGCTACATTTACCAGACCTAACCTGCATTTTCAGTATTATTACAAAGACAAATGAGTTGGATTCAGCCCTGTGTAGAGATGGTTTGAAAATAAAAAATTTTACCTGAGCCCAAAATATATCAGCCAACTCCTTGCGGTTTTGAACAATTGCCCATATAAGTAAATCCCTCACAGGATCCATGCTGAATGGTGCCTGGGCAGCAGAACACTTATAGAGTGCTTGAAGATGTACTCCTTGCACCTATGGGAAAAGAAATACCATCTTTAAGGAAATAACATCTCCTTGCACCTACAGGAAAAAAATAGCATCATCAGAAACACAATCAATGTCAGGCAACAGAGCAAAAGACTTACATGGAAAAAAGCACCCGTAATAATAAAAGGGCAGGACTGAGGCAGCAGCTCGGGATTATTTTGGAAAAAAGAAATGAGTCCCAAAACAGCATGACTGAGTTAGCACAATAGGAATATCTCAAAAGCTTTTTGCTCTGCCCCCTCTTGCAAAAAAAAAAAAAAAAGTTAACTACACTCTAATATTCTCTAACACACTATTTAAAGACATTATTTCCTATGAAATTCCACTGCCCTTTCTGCTATTTTCAAAATCTGTTGGATTTCAATTTCCATAGCTCCCAAACAGAATAACCATGATATCTCAAACAACCTATTGGGGAAAGGTTAGTGTTCATAATTGTGTCCATCAGATATTCATCATATTCATCAGATATTTTATCCATCAGATAGAGAAATAAATTATTTGTTTCCAAGAATAGTCTTCAAGCTGATCTCTCAAATTTTTAAAAAACCATTATTTGCCTTGTGCTACAAAACATGGAGAAAAATGTAAATCTATCCCTCACTATACCTAAGTCTTCCAAAGATATTTCACAATGATCAGAAAGTTGTAATAAAAGGTTTTTAGCATAATACATTTTATGCTTTCAGTCTTGGAATAAATCAGGGGGTAGATGGGGTACATCTGAATATGCCAAGTGAGTATAGCAAGTGCTGCAAAATGCTCCAGCAGTTAGACTACTCAACCCCATTCCCCTTTCCTTCACTTTTTTATTCTGCAGTAATTTAATAGAAATACAGACACTCTTCACTTTTGGTTAGGGATTTCCATTATTTTTACATCTTTTTTTCTATTTCTTTTCACTTCCTTTTTCTACACTTTTTTAAAATCCTGTCTTTCTTTGCTTTGCTTCTTTCACTCTTTATTGGCTTGTGTTAGTTTTTATGTTCTTTATAAAACTTCTAATAAAAATATTAAGAAAATGGAAGCAGAGTGATAGAAGAATGAACTCTACAGTTCTATATTGAAATATAAGAGTCATGGAAGGTTTAAGGGGTTGTTAGCATAAAAATGCACGATACCTTGTTCTGGGGCAATACAATAGGGAGATGGTGTTTCTCACTGTTGTTCAGCTTTGGGTACAGCTGATGTGTGAAATCTCCCAGCAGTTCCCTCAGCACCTGGGATACATGATGCAGCTGGATCCTTGGCATTTTGGAGATGGCGGCATGCTCCTTCTCTTCTAGCAACACTTTCTGCAGCTTCCCATGAAAGACACTGGAGGTTGCCATGTTTTCATAGAGGTAGATTAAAGTATCCCAGGTAACAAATTCCTTCAACTGTATACCTTGCTCCAAAAACAGCTTCACAAACTCTGGCTTGTTTGCTATAAGGGCAGCTGCCATCATTGGATGTAGATCAAAAGGCTGTTAAGCCAGGAAAACAACCAGAATGAGACAGTATTGACACAAATGAAATTGTCCTCCCCACGATAGGGAGAATCTTTGATGTACAAACATAAAGGATAAGACAACAATTAAGGACAATTTCTATAGCATCAGCAACTGTGTCCTAATAAATAACTAATTATAGACAATTACACAGTGCATATTACATAAGTACTAAGTGTGCATTACGTTAGTACTAAAACTGGAAAATAAATGTTCAGTAAATAATTTGGTAAATTAGTGATATAAAGAAATTGTATTTGTATATGATGCTAAACTAAGAGTGATTTTCCTATGGCTTGTTTAAAAAAATTATAATCAGTTTTGCCAATGAGCAAAACTGATTCTAAGTTGCTGCATCAATTTCTGATTTGTTTCTTCCTGAAAGTATCTAGAAGAGATGGAAAAAATAATAAGCCAGAATTGTGGGTTCAGATAGAACAAACCATGATATTATAAATCAGAATTCATTGACCAGAAGCAAGCCAAAATTTTAAATTAGGGTTGTTTCTTGTGATGGATTCTTCTATCCCCAAACAAATTATATTATAGCTTAGTATTATACCTTTGGCCATCAAGATTATATAACACAGATCATGTTTTGAGAAATAAAGATGCATAGAGTGATTGCATTGCAAGCTCTTGCCTTCCCAAAAGACAAGTTTGCTGTCAAACCAAGCTTGGTAATCTAATCTCATCTTGTAATTACACAGGTAGCAGAGGACATGCTCACTATTAGCATATCACCTAAGTCTCCCTACCTTCCATTCATGATCTTCGGTGAAAATCTCACTCCTGGCAATATCCACTCTGTTCCATGCCACCGCAAGCTTCAGCTGGTAGTCCCAGTTTTCATGGCCAAAGTGATCATGGCACCGGGAAGCTACAACAGATGAAGATACATGAAAAGATTTGAAACTGGGCTGTTACACTGTGTTGTTTATTGGATTATGGCCAGACTCCATAAAACAAGGCATGTTCTCCTTCTTCCAAGCAGATTTCTTTATTGTTCCACTCCTACAGCCATATACTTGCCACACTAAACTACCAACCATGTAAAGCATATATTCTGAGAACTATTAAGGAGGACATATCTTCACCTTGTTTGTCTTATACAAACTATCCAAACTGAATTGTCTCTTGCTCCTCTGGAATGCATTCCCTCTCTCCTGGGAATGCAGACCACATTCCATCACTTCTATTTACATAATTCCAGAATCCAGCAAGAAACTTTAGGAAAATACAAATATTTGTCTTGTGATGTAGATATGTTCCAGGATCAGGATTCTGCTCCCAGGCAATGGTTCTGGGAATTCATCTCATATGTACAATATTACTATTCAGAGGTTTGTTGCAGAGTAAGACATTCTACCTTAAGTGTACATATAAAGGCTGTGATGATCTATACAATCAAATAAACGAGCATTTCATATTTTGTTTTGAAAAAATTGCTAATCAAATCTCTATCAGGAGCCCTGGTGGCGTAGTAGTTAGCACTGCAGGCTCACTGCCCACTGCCGAGGCTGGTAAAATGAGGACCCAGATTGTTGGGGGCAATATGCTGACTCTGTAAACCACTTAGAGAAGACATTAAAGCACTATGAAGTGGTATATAAGTCTAAGTGCTATTGTTATTGCTATTAGTCCTGAGAATAATGAGTAGGGTTAGGCAACCTGGCATATTCTAGAAACTAAGCTCCCAGACAACTCAGTCAACAGTCAGAATTTATTCACCAGTACTTCCGGAGGCTCTACATCAGACATAGTACTAATAGATGTATGGATCAAAATTCGACGACAGAACTACAGGCAAGTCCCCAACTGGATCTCAAATGTACACACTAGAAATGTACACACACCCAAGGTTTATTCAGTTGGGGAAAGTAATAACCTATAAAAACATACTAGATGAGAGAGGAGAATTAAAATCGAGGAAGACTCTCCAAGATCCAGGGATAGAATTAGAATGGTGGGCATACCTCTAACTACAAGCAAGATATAGGCAAGATAAAAAAGATAGAACTGACAGAACTAGATAAAATGTTATTAGGTCCCGAGGATAAAATGATTAAAAAAATATATCATTTTCTTTTAGATCAGACAATGTATGAAGAACAGGTTAAGGAGACCATGTTAATTTGGAGTAGGGATTTTGGTTTCAGTATCGACCTACATATTTGGCAAGAACTGTGGGAAAGGAATAGGAAACTCACTTTAGCTACCTCATATAAGGAAAATCTTTACAAGATGTTTTATAGATGGCATTTCCCACCCGTAAGGCTAGCCAAAATGGGTTCATATATCTCACCCCTATGCTGGAAATATAAAACAGCAATAGGTTCATACTACCATATGTGGTGGGAACTCCCAAAGACTCATGAATATTGGAACAGGACACGAAACTGGTTGAGGGATATATTAACACTGGACTTAAGAGTTAAAACTTGAACTCTTCTTGTTGGGAATAACGACAGAAAAATACGACAAGGGAACAATCTACCTGCTGCTACACATCCTAACTGCAGCTAGGCTTGCTTTAGTGCAAAAATGGAAGAGCAAGGAAATTCCCACAGAGGAAGAGTTAATACATAAAATATTAGCATGTGCGGAAATGGACAGGCTCATAATGATATTAAAAGACAAATGTGGATCAGTTTATTATGAAACCTGGGATAAATTTTACCGCTGGAAGAATTTGAAGAGGACGGTCGGGATTAAAGATAGAAATATATGTTATTTTAGAACAAGTATTGTATATAAAACCTAGATGTATATGTAGAGATGAAGAATTGATTGTAAAAAGTGGAATAATCTGATAAGAATGTATATACTGGAATGTCACGTTAAATCCAATGTTTGTTTGTTTGTTTTTAACTGTATTATAAATAAAATTTGTAAAAAAAAATAGTCAGAATTTATTAAATTAACAAACATTGTATTTGGAGAATCCCAGACTGCCCATTACAGTTAATAATCTACCTAACAAATCAAATAAAGCATTTAGGCATTTCTATTAAATCATCTTTTAATTTTCTAGGTTTTATTCAACCTCTGTTGCAACATCAACATTTTAGGGTGTGATATTGGGCAACAGTTTTACCACTGCTTATGGTAATAGGCAGAATTTTGGGCTACTCACACAAAAATAAATAAATAGCTATAAAGTTATGTTTTGTCCTTCAATAGAATTGAAAAAGAGCATTTAGGCCATTAAGTCCAATTCTCTGTTCAAGATGATCACAAGCTATGTATCTTAATTAAGTGGTTGCTCTTCTCACCTTTGAGCATTGCTTGCAAAATGGCCACATCTATATCTTGCTGTCCATCCTTGCCTTCCCTGAAGACAGTCAGGAGCTGCTTGTTTCGCACAATATCCTGGATCTAAAAAGAAAAACATAATGTATAATTCTAATAAAGTGTTCTGTCACAATGTTATTGATGTAAGAATTAATTTTCAACTTTTTTAACTTTACATCCTCAAATCAGAATAATCACCACTTGTTTTTCTTTTTTAAAAAACTGAAGCTGATCCTATTTTTTCTAACACATAATGAAAAATACAGCCCCTTCAGACTGAGGAAATGTTAATTTTTCATACACTGTTATTTCAAGTATTTAAACACTTCTCATACTTAAAGGTGACCAAGGTCACAATTACTCTTTATAGGAGGCCAGTGTATCCTGAGCTCACAAGGCTGGCAGAAGAGCAGTTATCTAAGGCTACCAATAAGTGTGTAGCTAAGGTAATGGCCCCACAAAAAACTTCTAATTCAGTTTATGGTCAATATGCCATGCTGGTTACATTTATCTATTTGGTGCAACTCAAGACATTTGCTGTGAACTTGAGCTCTGCCAACTCAAGACATTTGAATCAGACCACAGATCTGGCTTCTGCCTCCATGAAGGGAAGCCCATATTCCTACAGGAATAATCTCCTGGAGTCTGCTCTGCCAGGAAAGAATGAATGGGGTTAAAGCAAGGCAGAAGGGGAAAAAGCTTTCAACTTTCTCTCCTTTTTCGTGAAAGGGTCCATAAAGGGGGATGTGAGATTTGTATTCCCAATTTATATACTGTATATCATGCAAATATCAGTAAGCAGTTCACAAGTTCCTTATGATACAGTTTCAACAAAACTTGAATCATAATTGGGATGATAAAACCTACCTTTTTGGTCCATTCCACAATCTTGTTCTCTGTGAATAATTCATAGCTGTCCTTGAAAAATATACTCAGTTTTTTCTGAATTAGGCAAATGCTTATTTTGTGGCTGGGGAGATTAGACACCTGAGCAATGACATCAGCTACTCGACCAGAGCCTTCTACAATCACACATGGTGTGCCATTGTTGATTGCATTATAGATTGTCTACAAAAAAAAATAGTTGGAATAGGTCAGCCTTTGAGGTCATATAATTTCATATCGCCAATAAATTAAGTGACAGTACCAATGCCAATATCCTTCTGGATGACCTACAGTCTGCTTTTTTCATTATCTGCAGCACATTTGAACTGGTGGGGAAAAAAAGCTCTCCCAGACTGAATCCCAACCCATGTGGATTTCAGTGGAAGATGGCAATAGCTTTATAAAGCTACAGCCACCAGCAAGCCTGTACACTATAGATTTATCAGGAATAAAATTTCAAGGTTAAATTTATTAATTGTTTTGTTTGAGTAACATTTTAACTATCGTTAAGCATCAATAGTGGAATGCTTCATAATATTTATCAATTTTAGCAACGTATTGGGCATTATTAATAGCCAAGTGACTAGAAGGCATTACAGTTAGTCCTTGACCTATGACCACAACTGAGCCCAAAATTTATGTTGCTAAGTGAGAAATTTGTTAAGTGAATTTTGCCCCATTTTATGACTTTTCTTGCCACAGTTGTTAACTGAATCACTGTAGTTGTTAAATTAATCAGTTATTAAGTGAATCTAGTTTCCCATTGATTTTGCTTGTCAGAAGATCACAAAAGGAGATCACATGACACCATGACAGTGCAACTGTCATAAATGTGAATCAGTTGTCAAGCATCAAAATATAAATCATGTGACCATGGGGATGGTCAATGGTCATAAGTGTGAAAAATGGTCATGTCCCTTTTTTCAGTGCCATTGTAACTTTGAATGGTCACTAAATGAACTGTTGTAAGTTGAGGACTACCTATATAATTATGTAGATACATAACTGGATCAATAAACTTATTCCAAGAGTTATAATTAATTAGTTAATGGTTTCTCATCTAACTGAAAGGTGATGAGTGCAGGGTTATAATCTACTTTTGAACATTTTTTAATTACTTGGATAAAGATCTGCAGATGAGTTAAACTCGGTAGAGTAGCTAGAAAACTAGTAATGTTCAAAATGATTGTGTTGACCGTGATTCAGAAATGGGCTGAAAATAGTAGGATGAAATTTAACAAAGTGAGTGCAAAGGTTTTCACTAACTAATCAAAAAATCAAATGCACACACACACACACATATATATAGACAATAATACTTGTGAAAGAGATCTGGCAATAGCAGTGTGGCTGAAAAAGGGTAAATTCAAGTTTAAACTACTTCAGCCAACATACAGTTTTCAAATTACAGGAATTAATAGTTCTACTTTATTCCTTAGTTGGTCAGATCCCATCTCTAGTTCTGTATCCACCTAGGCACCAACTGTAAGGCACAGCCTAGGAAATGGAATAAGGAAGGGCAAGATTTTTTTCTTTAACAAAGCTGTTTAGTAGCGGAAATAATATTAAAAAGAGAAAGTGGGCACCCTATATTGGATATATTCATATGGAGGCAAGGCAAAGACAACTGCCTGGAATATTTTAATTTGGATTTATATTCAGTTCAGAGTCATGGAGTTGAGTGTCTAAATGCCCCTCGCCCCCTCTTGTTCTATGATTCTGTAATCACCAATATTAGCATGACTGGCTTGTTACTGTCCCTTGTCTACAATGATTTCTCTTGTCCTTTTAGCTCACTGCGAACTCAACAGAATCTTAACTTGCTTTCATTTGTCTTGAGCAACTACCACCATCCAAACCCTTGTACTACAACAAATTCCTAACTATCTTTCTCTGAGAATCTTCTTGGGAATTAACAAGAACTCTATGCCTTCATAATCACCCAGTTATCCTGACAGCTGCAGAGTACTTACATCAAGAGTCCCAGGGCCACCCTCCAGCACTACACAAACAATAGGTATTTTAATGGCAACTCCTGTGGAAAAAGAAAATAAAAGGAGCAGTCAATTGTCCGTGTATTTAAGTGTCCTTCTTTCTCAGCATTTTTTTCAATTGGGTATTGTGATGCACACAGATGCTGATCCAGATTGGCAGTTATGAAACTAATTAATGTCAAGATTCTATAAAAAATAGATTAAAAACCAGTACCATACTAGCATAAAAATAAACCTAGTCTCAGGTTACTGAGAATTGTAGGTCTTTAGTCTGTCTCTAGTGGTCAGTCCCTTTATTTTTTAGGACAAAAATAGCTTAACTACTAAGCTGATAAACAATAAAAACAGAAACATAACTTATTTTATAAAATTGACAAATTATCTATTATTGATCCTTATCATCACTTAATTGTTTTCATAGCTACAACCTTCCCAATAATTTGGAATCAGAATTAGTGAATTTTCTCCAGATTGTGAAACTTAAATGGAAGAAATCACATTGTACAAGAGACGTAGTATGAAGATACCATAATCTACATCTCCAATAGCAGTACAGGAAGTTCTTGACTTACATTCATTCATTTAGTGACTAGGCAAAGTTACAACAGAATTGAAAAATGTGACTTACAACCAGTCTTTGCAATTATGATTGTTACAGCATCCTCATACTCACATAATCAAAAATTTGGGCGCTTGGCAACCAGCATATATTTACAATGGTTTCAACATCCTGGGGTCATGAGATAGCCATCTACAACCATCCCAGCCAACTTTCAACAAGCAAAGTCAATGGGGGAAACCAGATTTACTTAATGACCATGTTAATCACTTAACATGATTCTCCTAACCAGGGCTTTTTAACCAGTGGTACGGGTACCACCTGTAGTACATTGGCACCTGGCAGGTGGTACGTGACCATCCTAGAAAAGTGGTAGCGGGGGAGGGGAATGAGCTGAACCGGTGGCAGCACCACACAAGCCTGAGTGAGAGATGGCTGCAGCTGCAGGGCTGTCAGGACTGAGCAGAAGCACCAGGATCAGTACCGCTTTCCAGCTGATTCTTTGGGGCTGTCAGGGCTCAGTGGAAGCGCCAGGATCAACGCCAGGCTCCAGCTGGAGCTTGGCACTGATCCTGGTGCTTTTGCTGAGCCCTGAAGAAGCACCAATCAGCTGGAATGTTGCAGCATCTCCAGGCTCTTGTGATTTACATTCAGATGCTTGGCAACTGATTCATATTTATGACGGTCACAGTGTCCCAGGGTCATGTGAAGTGACCAAAACCTGCTGCAACCACCCAGCAGATGGGGGAAATAAAAACCAAACACTCCCCCCACTCCTGCTGCCAATCCTCAACAGAAATGCTCACAACAATGAAAACCTCAGACAGGAGGAAGAGCACCGCCGGGCGGGCAGGCAGGTGTCTTGCTCGGCTATGGCTTGGGGGGCACTTTTTTCAGTGCCATTGTAACTTCGAACAGTCACTAAGTGAACTGTTGTAAATTGAGGACTATCGGTACTTTATCACTTTTTTCCAGGTTTTTTTTTGGGGGGGGGTCATCAAGTTTTTGACACCTTGCTAGGTGACTGGTGGTACTCGGATATTGCCATATCCTAAAAGTGGTACAATGGGTGAAAAGGTTGAAAAGCCCTGCTCCTAACAATCATGTCAAAAGAAGTTCTAACAACCACCTTGCTTAGCAATAGAAATTCTGGCCTCAATTTTGGTCGTAAGTCAAGGACTGTCTGTACCATCCTAGTTCTACTCTCTTACTACATTTCCAACTTGATATCCGCCAGATGTGTTAAATTTTATTTGATAAAGTAATCGCTTATTAATCCTAGGATTCCAGATTATCTTGGTACGTAAAATTCCTTATTTGAAATCAGCAAGATTTAAGTGAAGAATTTATGAATATGAGTTGATCCATATGCCATAATCAGCATTGCAATCTATGCAAAAAAATATTTTAGTGTTCTTGGTATATAACATTTTTACCAGCAATAGGCTGCAATTACCTTCTTTCACCTTGGTTTGCTCTGAAATGTATTTCTCAAGATTGGTCCTCAAAGGGATCTCCACCCCATATTTCCCATGTGTTCCATCATCCACCAGAATGAAGTGTGAATGATTGCTATCCAGGCAACAAAGGCTTCCTTGAGCTTCCTCATCCAAAATATATTCTGCAGGGAAGCTACCCTAAAAATAACCAGGTTGAAAAAAAACCACACAGATTTATGTCCCATCTTTCAGCAGTAAAAAGTGATGTATATACCATTCCCACCCCCTACTTCTCCTTGTTTTTCTTTACTGAGAATGAGTGATGAAATGACAATGAAACAATGGATGGAAACTAATCAAGGAGAGAAGCAACCGGGAATTAAGGAGACGCTTCCTAACAGTGAGAACAATTAACCAGTGGAACAGGTTGCCTTCAGAAATTGTGGGTGCTTCGTCACTTGAGGTTTTTAAGAAGAGACTGGATGGCACTTATCTGAAATGGTATATGGTCTCCTGCTTGAGCAGGAGACTAAACTAGAAGATCTCCAAGGTCCCTTCCAGATTCTATTCTATTCTATTCTATTCTATTCTATTCTATTCTATTCTATTCTATTCTATTCTATTCTATTCCATTCCATTCCATTCCATTCTTGGCTACTACATTTTACCTTTTGGAATGGGATGCATTTTTCATCCAACTCTATATGGTTTTGTTCCTATATGTGATAGGACAGTGAGTGGACTATTACTGGGATAATTGAGCTATATCCAAATAGATAATTTTATTCATAGGTACCAAATATTAGAAACCCAAAGTCTAACAATGTTTACATCCCACAATTGTCCTTCTTCACATCCTTAATATTTAAAGAAGTACAAAGTTTTACAAGACATGCTGATTTTTGCTATATTGTATTTATTCTCTCTCATGTCAATCTACCTGCAAACCTCCTTTTCTCCAAGATAAAATCCATATGGAGTTGTATATGAGTCATTTCTTCTAATAGCATGGTCTGAAAATCTTTTTGGCTCACCGTGTGGCAGATGAGGCTATTACGGTTGTGTATTGTTCCCCAAGCTGCAATGCCAATAGCGACAATCTCGCCTTTATAGGTGCTGCTCAGCATAAAATCCTGTAGTGCTTCTCCTACTTGCTTCATCACACCAGTGTGAGAACCACCTGTGATGATCCATGCACCTTTAGAACAAAGATCACAAGTGTATAAAATAGATAAGACACTTTATTTCTCTATTTTTTTCCTATAGGAGATGAGGAAATATTTTATTTAGTTTTTAAGCAGAATATGTTTGAAGTTAGGTTGGCAATTTTTGACCCTCTGCTGTGTATTTTTTTTTTAAAACAAACAATTCTAAGTTTAGCTCCCGGTTTCCACTTTAATTAATGACTGTATTTTGTGTGTTTTTAATTATGGTAGACTATTTTGGGAGCCCATCTGGGCTGAAAGCTAAAATAGTTTAGATAAAGAAATAAAACCTCAACATACCCTATTAGTTTTGGCCAGTCATTGCTTTACCTGTTGTTTGTACCACTTTGGCAAGCCCCTGACGAAACATATTCTTCAGTCTCATCTTCATGCTGAAATTTTTAGCTCCTCCTGTCACTGATATTAAGAGGTTGGGTATATCAACCCCCCAGTACTGTGTAATCAACTGGTAAAGTGTTTTTGGAGAAGTGCTGGAAGAGACTCGCACATACTACAAAAAGAAAACAAAACACAGCAGGAATATATGATCATTCCAGATAGTGATCACTATGCAATCATGCCCAGAATCATCTAAGACCCAAGCTGAGCTATGTGGGATTTCTTACTCAAAATTACTTGAGTCTTGTGAATCAATGAAATATTACAAATAGATACTGTATAAGGAATATTGATGCAATAGGAAAGAATGGAGGGAATCTTCTAAAAACGTCCTAGAGAAAACCATTCTATGTTAGCCTGGTCTTCTCATCAGAGGCAACTCTTTACTTTCTACTTTCCCATTTCTATGAGCAAGTCTAAAGGAGGATAAGATATTTCATTCTAATGGGGTTCCAAGGACTTTATAGAACATGCTATTTAACGATACAATCAAGGAGATTCTAGTTGGGATATGCAGTGCTTTACCATAGATTTAAGAGAAAACAGTGAATTGGAATAAGCATTGGTGTGGACATAATAGCTTTCAGTAACTCTTTAAAACAGGGTGTCCAACCTTGGCAATTTTATGACCTGTGGGCTACAACTCCCAGAATTCCTCAGCCATCATAAAATGGCTGGGTAGGAAATTCTGGGAGTTGAAATCTGCTGCTCTTAAAGTTATCAAGATTGGACACCCTTGCTTTAAAACAAAAGTGTTCTTTCCTAGGATTGCACAGCAACTGCATGAGTCTGGAACAAAATGCATATACTTTAAAGCATTGCCAATAGGTATTATGTGAGTGCTGTGAATCTGAAGCACTACATACCATAGCCCTAAATTCTAGGCAATAAATCCAGAAAGATATCTGCTGTTGGGTCTTATAACTTCAGAAAAGTTCAGAAGTACATAAAGTTAAGTAGTATATAACATTTCAGAAAACCAACTACAGGTTGTCCTCAACTTACAACAGTTCATTTAGTGACCATTCAAAGTTACAACAGCACTGAAAAAAATGACTTATGACCATTTTTTTACACGTACAACCATTGCAGCATCCCCATGGTCACATGATCAAAATTCAGACTCTTGGCAACTGAGTCACATTTATGACGGTTGCATGTCCCGGGTCATGTGATCACCTTTTGCAACCTTTTGACAAGCAAAGTCAATGGGGAAGCCAGATTCATTTAACAACCCTGTTATTAATTTAATAATTGCAGTGAGTCTCTTAGCAACTGTGGCAACAAAGGTCATAAAATGGGGCAAAACTCACTTAACAAATGTCTCACTTAGTAACAAAAATGTTGGGCTCAATTGTGATCATAGGCCTAGGACTACCTGTACATCTTCAATCACATGTTAACTCACCTTCCCAACCTTTTGTCCCAATCCTGTAAAAGTAATGTCCCCAAAGGCATCTGTTGGCATTTCCTGGACATGTCTTCTGGGGTCCCATTCCTTCCCTTGGAAGATGATAGGTTTTATGGCTTCCTCTAAATGTTCTTCCCTGAGATAGCCACATTCACATGCCACTTTCCTGTACAAAAGCATAAGTAACAAAAAAAATACATATTGAAATTGCTATAATGACATAAATCATATAAAAGAGACATGGAGGTTAGAATAAAGGAGACTCCAAACACTAAAATAAACATAAGCTGAATTCACTGCTGTATATAATACTGTGTTATGTTGAATATAGTTGTACAAGTACTCCATGCCTACATGACAAATACAGAGCTTGAGAAATACAAGGACATATTTTCACATGTGTGAATAGTTGCAATATTTGCAAACACAATTAGCACAAAATAGATTTTTCAAATAGTATATGAGCAATTATTTTGACATATCCAATGTACTTATAACAATTTTAATTAGAAAGCAAGAATAAAGATAGCAAGTGGCAAGCTGGCTGAGAATTCTGCAAGAGGGAGTTCAAAACATCTAGAACAGACATGCCGGCAATGGGGTGGGCACAGCTTCCACGTTACACATCCAGCCTGCGGGCTGGCAGTTTGACACCCCTGATCTAGAGGAATCAGATTATGCAAGATTAACTACTGGAGTTCTCTAAATTCCCAATCATTACAGAAATAAACATCAACACTACTCAACATGCCTATACTTGGTTTATTTACTTGCATTTCAAGTGTTATTTGAGTATTTTATGCATATCAATTTTATTTATTTATATATGTTAGAGCCTCTTTTCTCACTTTTAAAAATAATACCAGATGGTTTTTCTAAAACATTCCAGTGTTCCTTAGCCTTTAAATCATTTCCATTTGACTGAAAATAGTTTAGCATAATCCTTCATCATGTTTTCTCTGAAATTAAATTCATTATCATTCCTTTGTAAAAAGAAGCAATAAGTGTTGCTGTCAACACCAAAAATATCAAAAGCTGCCTCCAATTATGTTTTGTGGTAATTTTCCACTTGCTGAAATATTATTGGGATTGTGTGCAGTATCACAATATTCAAAATCCTTTCAGTAATGAATCATATCTTTGTCCCAAAATGGCAGTGCTCTACCATCTACATCAAGGGTGTCAAACTCGCAACGTCCCATATGTATCACAACGTATCATGACTTTTTCTCCATTGCTGGCAATGGGGTGGGCGCGGTTTCGGCATGACGTATCCGGCCTGCAGGCCGGCAGTTTGATACCCCTGGTCTACATAATACTTTGCTTCTGTCAATGCAGCCTTTCCCACAAGCATAAGAATGGTTTTGATAACACTGCTTAGGAGACATATGAGATGCTTTCAACCCAATAGGTTAAAGATTGCTTACTGTCTGTAAGCTATTGTTACATTTGTGTAATTTCAAGTTGCACTTGTTTTTAACCACTGAGTCGTGTCTGACTCTCAGTGACTTTATAGGCAAGTGCTCTCCATGTTACCTTGTCAAGCACAGCTTCTTTCAATTGTTGTATGTTCAACTTTGCATCAGATTTGATGTTATCAATCCAGCATGTTCTTTGCTTGCCTCCTCTTCTTTGTCCACTAACCATTTCCAGGATCATTGCTTTCTCCAATGAATTCACATGCATAACATGATCAAAGTAAATCAGATGTAGTCTTATGATTTTAGCTTCCAGTCTGGTTTAACTTAAACTATCATTATTTGTTTAATAATTAATTCCACAGGTTAAATATACATGGAGCTTTTCAAATATCCTCACAGTCAACACCATTGGATAGCCCTAATCCTTGTGTTATAAAACAGGATTCCTGCTCACTTTCTCTATTCTGGCATGATTTTATATACAGTACAATATCTCAGTTATGTTTCCCCCTAGCAACCATTTTTCCAAGCTAAAAAGTCCCAACATTCCAGATTTCACTCAGTCTAAACCTCCCTGATAATTTTGGTTGTTCTCTTTTGCAGTTCTTTTAGGGATAAAGTTAATCAGAGTAGTTTTCTTACCCAGAATCGGATAACTGTGAACTTTCAATAAAATAAACACATTCTTTTTTCTGAATGTTTTCAGGGATCCATAAGCGGAGATTTTCCTGTGGAGTGAACAGGGTGCAAAAGATCAGTTCTTACTTAGAAAGCATAAAATCATCTCCTTCCCAGAGCAAATTTATATTCTCTACATAAAATACCAGGTATTTTGTGCTGCTTTTTGAGGAAAAATAATTCTAATATTACTTGCGGTCAATTATTCTTTAAAAGATGAATGGTTATCACATCTAAGGAGAGCAAAAAGCATGCAAAGTATAAACGTTATATGGCTAACTACAGTATGATTTTATACTCTAACAATGTATTTGAATATCTCCCCTATTCTATTTCTCTCTCCCATCCTTTTCAGGCCTAAGCTTGTAATTTCCATCCCATAGTAGGTCAGCCCTCAAACAAACCACCACCTAGCTCTTCCTTTTTCTTGAACTTGCCTTTTCATTTATGCTGGAAGAGAAGTGAGCCCTGCGCTTGCTCCTATTGGAAGGGCTGTTGCTTCTTCTGAAGTTGGAAATCATGGTGATATCATAGTAGCTCTCAAGATCAAGAGGATAGCCTTCATCATGGTGGATCTTATTCTGCTCCATTGGTATTCGCAGACCAGGCCCAGCCATGGCTACATTTGTTAGATCAATCACCAAAGATGTTCAAGTACATTTGGAAGACAAATTCTTGAAACTACCGTCTCAGACTTCATGGACTGCAAATGCTGTATTCTGCCTAAATTTCATAAAACACCAAAAAGATATTTCTTTTCTTTTTTTAAAAGTCCCCTGGTTGAAGCCTCTCACAAATACCTCATCTTTTAACTTGAGAATTTGGATATATTTGCCATATTTTTGTGTGTTCAAAGACTTCCGGTTTGGCGTTTGACGAGATGGGTGAAAGAAGCTGGGGCTCTGGCTTCTTAGCCCGATTTCGTTCGGCCCAGTGACCCCAAGGGGTTGGAAAGTTGCTCTGGAGGGGCAACCAAGAAGGAGGGATGCTTTGGGAGTCCAGACCAGATGGCAGTCAGTCTGAATGGACTGAAGAAACCCTCCAAAAGGACAGAAGAAAGGCTGCCTGGTAAGCCCAGACAGCCCAAGTCATCGCCAGCCGGAAGAGAAGTGAGGAGCCACAGTGCTCCGCTAAACAGTTGATTGTCAACAGTATGCTGAAACTGGGAGAGCCTGTTCTTTCACTCTTTTTCCTTTTGGACTTAGAAATGTTAATCCCCTCATTCGGAAAAAAGCTATGAAGTAAAGACCCCAGAATGACTAGGGGAGAAGAGAGTTAAAAGTGGCGAGCAATTACAGGAGGGGAAAGGATTTTAAGGAAGATAAAAGAATGCTTAAAAATCGAACTTAGATTGATTCAAAGAAAGACTGCTTAACCTACAGGATGTGGAGAAAAAATACATTTAATTTCTAGGATAAATAACTTACAAAGAACTTCAAAAGGAAACTTTGTAACAATCTTTTAAAACCAGATATTGATAAAACAGTGTATGAGGACATCTAGTGGTGAAAGGAAATACTATAGTAGTACCAAATAAAATAATTTGAAAAGTGTTTGACCTTGAAACAACACCTGGTGTAAACAAAGTGCCTTTATGTGAGTTTGTAAGAGAAAAGACTTTCTACAATTATATCTGTTGACTCTGGATACAACCAAAACAGGAATTATTTGGACACAGCGGGCGTTTTGCATCTGTGATTTGACTGGTTGGCTCGATTTTTTGGGGTTGGATTTTAGCCTAAGCCTTCTTTTTTACCTTGTTTTTCCTTTTTGAGAATTTGGATTTAGCCAAAAGTAGTTGGCTCTTTTTACAGTTTGGATTTTAGCCTAAGGTAGTTGACTTGAGTGCATCAAATCTCACCAGACTTATAAAAAAGACTTCCTCTGCACCCTCTGTTGAAACATCCAGCCCAACAAGCCAGGGATCTATTGAAACAATGTTGCAGCATGAGAAAATAAGCACTGCTCAAAATGAGATGCAAACTACACTAAAATTAATTCAAGAATCAATACAAAAAAACCATGAAGAGACAAAAGTAATTTTGATAAATTAATAGAACAAATCTCATACATAAAAACACACATGGCAAAAAAAAAACCAGACAGAAATGATTGACATGGGCAATATGCCAACTGTGCCTAGCCTTTTTCTGAAAGCTTCTTTTTAAAGGCATATCTCCTTATATTATATAGGGCTGTCATTAGTTCCTTGATATGGAAAAATCAGGTAGCTATCCAAAGCTAATTGCATAATGGCAATAGTAACTCATACTGTGATCCATGAAGAAAATAGAAACACAAGTTTATTTCCAATGACATCTGCAGTAAGTCACAATGATGCCAACATGAAGCAGGTGCTTATAACAGCACACACGGGTGATGTCGATATATAAAACCCACTATTATATATTCCCAGCCTAAAATCTTGTGGAAGTACTAATATCATGGTATTTGTGTGATGGCATCATTCCTCTTTGCAGATGTCCATGTTTGTTTCAAATCCAGTAGTAGTTCATACATAACTTCAGTAAAATACCTTTTTCTTCAGCATTTATCAACTAAACCCCTTTTAGTTAAGACTTTTGTACAGCTTGGATTCAACAGACATGGATTTCACAGAATACAAAAATATTTTTAGTGCAATTTTCAAAAAAACTTAACAGTTTTTAAGTAGTTACTAAACATAATATTACACTTAAAAATATATTCCGTTGAGAAATACATTCTCTCCTACAGTGAATGATTATCAGGCAGGTATCAAAGAAACAGCATTTAAGAGTTAGCATAGCAACATGTCAAACACCAATCAAAATAATATGCAATTTTGAAATATTACTCCAAAGTAACGAGGCCACTCAGTCCAATATTATTTGTTCTCATTGGCAGATATCTATAATAGCGGAGCAAAACCTTCTCAGACAAAACATCCTTGGGTTTTGAGTTGGTTAATATTCAGTAAATGGCACAAACATACCAAAAGCTAAATATGGTTAAATTAAATAAATCTATGCTTGATTGCATAGTCAGCTGTTGTTTAGACTGGATTTGGCATTTTTTTATCTACCTGTCCCAAAGATTTGGGAAAGCCAGAAATCTTTGACGGTGTTAAAGGAATTGTTAGAGGATGCATGTTGTTTCAAGTAAACCAGCCATTTGCAATTAATTTGATGGTGATTTTGTCAATGCCATTGGTGTTCAAGTGGTGTTCAAGTGGTGCTCTAGTTGTTATGGGATGTTAGCAAAAGGGTCTATTTCTATTGGTACCACTTTTGCTTCCTTTTGCCACAGCCATTCTATTTCTATTTGCAGGTCTTTGCATTTTCTGATTTTCTCCAGTTCTTTCTCTTCTGTTCAGCTGTCTCCAGATACTGCAATGTCCACTATCCAGACTTTTTTTTTCAGTTGTTAAGTCTGAGGTGTTATGTGGCAAGTTTTGCCTGTCTGAATTCTAAAGTCCCAGAACACTCTAACTTCTTCATTTTCTATTATTTTGTCTATTTTGTGGTCCTAAAAATTCTTGCTTGTTGGGCAAATGGTATTTCTTATCATATTTCACCATTGTTGCTACTTTATCATGCCTCTGTTTGCAGTCAATCTGTGTGGTCGTCTTCCAACAGCTAACTAGGTGGTCCACTATTTTTTCCAGGTTCTTGGAAGAACCAGAATTTGTGGTCTATTGCTGTCTTTTCAATTCTGGGTTTGTTTTCAAGGTCTTGTAGAGCCAGAACTAGCCCTCTGGTCTCTTTTTTTGCTTGTAGCCATTTCTGGATCTTGTTAAGTACTTTGCTTGCTATTTTTTAATGTACTGGCATTGTACCTGTGTTTCCCCCAAAATAAGACCGGGTCTTATATTAATTTTTGTTTCAAAAGATGCATTAGGGCTTATTTTCTGGTTAGGGCTTATTTTAGGGGAAATATGGTACTTAATGCCTCCATCTGGCTGATGATCTTAACTGGGGCTTATTTTGGGGAAAGGGCTTATATTACAAACATCCTGAAAAATCATGCTAGACTTATTTTCTGGTTAGGTCTTATTTTTGGGGAAGCAGAGATATCTTCTTAATTCTTTGGCCCTGATAACCAGGTATTGCCGCCTGCTCAGTCATAAACGTATGTGCTCTTCTGCTAGTGACATTTTTTTTAGTGTATAATATTTTCAATATCCGGCAGCAGCCAACTACTTGCTATCCACTGGTTTATTTTCATTTGCATGGTTCTCAGTTCCAATATCTCAGGGGCTGCCACAAAGAAGAGGAAGTCAAGCTATTTTTCAAGGCGCCTGAAGATAGAACAAGAAGCAATGGATGGAAACTAATCAAGGAGAGAAGAAACCTAGAACTAAGGAGAAACTTCCTGACAGTTAGAACAATTAACCAGTAGAACAACTTGCCTCCAGAAGTGGTGAATGCTCCAACACTGGAAATTTTTAAGAAGAGACTGGACAGCCATTTGTCTGAAATGGTATAGGGTTTCCTGCCTGAGCAGGGGATTGGACTAGATGATCTCCAAGGTCCCTTCCAACTTTATTATTATTATTATTATTATTGTTGTTGTTGTTGTTATCATACTAATTTATAATCATACATTCCAAGTAGAAAAGAATTTTGTAAAGTATTTCTGCAGTCATGGCTGAGACATTGTAGTTTTTCCAGGGTTAAATTAATAGCTTAAAACAATTGTTATAGCAATGTTAACAATAGTTATGAAACTGAACTTATTTATGTTGCATCTTTTAAGATGCCATAACATGGGACAATGTTATCAAAAGAAGTCAAATGGTAGAAGATAATATATTTAACTATTTGTGCATTGCCGTGGTTTTAACATGAATTATGTTGTACTGCAATACAGAAAAAGTTATGTGTGCCATTTTCAACTGAAAACAATGAAGCTAAAAGCAGACACTGTATGTCTGTCTATTCCATGTCCCACCAGCTTCAGAGAAATATTAGTATGCTTTGTTTTCTTTAAAAAATATTTCAGTAATTAGTTTAAGCATAAATATTGCTATTCAGTTTGGTGATTCTTTTCTACATCTTTAAATCATTAGCTTCAACAAAACCTTCCCTCAAGCATTAAGTTTCATTCAGGCTATAACTTAAAATATTCAAATGATAACATAAAAAAGAAAATACAGCATTAAGTAGTGGCCAGGAACTAATCTGTACCCTTCAAATCAACAGAAGTTTTGTGTACTCAAGTAGTATACTAGAAGTTAAAATGACATAAAATGAAATTACCTAAACAGTTACCTGGATGCTTGAAATATAATGTTAATACAAAAGGAAAGTACCCCAGACCAAGTAAGCTAACTGATCTATCAAGCCCATAAATACCAGTGGTTCCCCAGGGTTTCAGACAGAATTATTTCCTTAATTTTTTTAGATGCTAGGAAAAAGGCCTTCTGCACACAAACAAAAAAAATGTTCTGGTACCGAGCTGTAGACCTATTTATAAGATTCTGTAATTATTCCAGAATGGCTTCTTAAAAAACTTAGTTCAACATCTCAGAAGCCAATCTGAATTTTTTTTGTCCTGGATATATCACGAATAAGCTCCTTGCGATCATAATGCTAATTTTCTTCAGACACAAGCTGCAAAACCATGCACTTTTTGAATATGTTATACTAAACACATGCACAAATTTATGCACAACTTAAAAGGAGAAAATAAAGAGCACTATTGATTCCACGCAAATTTATGGCCAGTAACTCAATGCATGAGCTTATAGATCCACTTGCATATGCAACACACTCAGCAAGCTTTGCTTAAAATGTGGTAAGGATTTCTTCTGACCTTGCAATGCAGAATATCTCAACCTAGAAAGAACGCTTACTAAGCAATTTTGCAGTGCCAGATCAGCCAGGGTCTGAGTTACACTAGAATGGCTGAGACATACATTCCCAGCTTTTGATGCTTCAGGCCACTATCTTAAAATATGCAACAGAAAACAACCCAGATAGCTGTATATATTTTTCCAACAGCATCCTTCCAATCCCAATTTTACTCACATGTTCCTTGCCGATTATCTGTGAAGGACACACTTTTGTTTCATGCTGTAAACTCATCACCTTATTGCTGAATAATGCTAAGAGTTCACTGGAGCTTTTCTGAAGTGACTGCAGTTAAAAGGAGGAGGAGGAGGAGGAGGAGGCAGCAATCCAGGGGGGCTGCACTTTGCCAGCAAATCATACTGCAGAAGCTTTCCTAGTCATTTACAGAAACCTGATGGATAGGTCAAGTGAATTGAGTTTGCCAGGCTGAATTGCAAATGACTCTTGTTTGCTCTGCTTTATAGAGAAAGCAAACTATCTTTGATTCTTTGATTGAACGTTACAAAAAGGTGGCTAAATTCAAATTGCTCTAAGTTATTCAAATGTAGCTTTGTTCAGAATGATTATAATAAAATTAAATTATGTCCTAAATTAAGGTGACCAACTTTTTTACAATGAAAAGGAGGACACAAATAAATTGAAGAAAAATCGTAAATAAAAGAAACATTTTATTCATTGCAACAATAATACAGAATACACTATAATATAATAAATGCATAATAAAAACATTTGTAACAATAAAATTTTATATTGTAATTATGCTTACATGCCTATTATTTATTATTTAAATGAGTACTGCGCGGGATGGGCGGCGGAGGCAGGTGTTGCGGGCCAGGCGCTCCAGGATGGCCATGTAGGCGCACAGGGCGAGGTGGCGGCAGTGCAGGTCCAGCACTGGGTAGACCACCAGCTGGCCCAGCCCATGGAAGGTCAACCGCCCACCGCGCCCCCACCCGCAGCCACCCCGCCAGCACCACTGCCCTGTGTAGAGCGGGCCCCGCAGTTCCCAAAGCACCAGTTGTGCCAGTTCTGGCCCCGGGAGGCAGCCCGCTGCCAACACACCCCGCCTACAGCCACCCCGCCAGCACCACTGCCCACCCTGCGCAGCCCCGTGTAGAGCAGGCCCTGTGGCTCCCACAGCACGGGGGGCAGCTGGCCGCCACCACCCCTCACACCCTTGCCCGCAGCAGCCCTGCCGCTGCTACCTCTTGCGCCCACAGCCATTATTGCCCTAGCAGGGCCGAAGATCAAAAGAAACTTATCATGGTGTCCTTGCTCCAGTCTCCTCCAGGTATCTTCGGGACTAAGTAGGAGATGGTGTAGTTGGGTAGCAGGGAGGGGTGCAAAGTTCCTGCCAATTCACCTTCGCTGCAGACAACTTGCATGTGCAAAGTTTGCCGGCTGGGTGTTTTGGCGTGCTCAGCAGCAATTCCTATTGGCTTCTGAAAGCCAATAGCAGGAGTAGCACAGCTCATGCAAAAGTTGAAAAAAAAAATCAAAAAAAGGTGCTGGAATGCCGTTCTGAGCGTTCTATGAGGGAAAAAAAAGCCCTCCAGATTAGTCTTCAAATATTGAAAAGGACGACATGTAGGAGGACACTTTTCGAGGGAGGACAGAACTTACAAAAGGAGGACTGTCCTCCCTAAAGGAGGACGGTTGGTCACCTTACCTAAATATTTAAGAAGATGCTCAGGATCAGATT